ACCGCGCCCACCCCCAGGACCATCCAGCCCAGCGGATCCCGCGTCTCCGCAACAAGTTCAACCCCAACGTCGGCGCCCAACACCAGCCGTGACATGATCGCCGTCTCCACGATCGACTTCCGCGAATAGCGAGCCAGTCGACCATCACACCCCAAGAATAGGAGGGACGCGGAGGCCGATCTTCCATACGCGTAGCGCGAAGTACTCAGATTGATCCATTCCATCGTAATAACCCACATTCTTCCTTGATCTTCCACTGTTCCTCGTCAATCCATTCGTTGTTAATTCGATCGGCCAAGATCTGTCCTCATGCCTTCCTGTACTCACTCCATAACCGTCCGATCTGCACTCACATACACTCATTCGTTCATATACAACCCCTTCCTCCGATCAACGGCCTCCCCGTCGATCCGTCATCCCTCTCGCTCACCAAGGTGACCCGCTCACCCTGGTGGCCCGATCTCACTCCTCCTCGTGAGACTGCATCACGCTGAATCGGTTCCGGTACACGCGATCTCGAAGGAACTCGTACAATAACGTACCGCAGTTGAGATCACCTTCGTCGACCCAGTCAGGCTCGTCGTAACCCTTCCAGCGTACCAGGAATTCTCGATGAGTCCGGCCGTACCGTGTCCTTCGACCCGTCCGCATATCCGTGATCTCCTCTACTTCGTACTCATTCACGTCTCGATCTGGGGCCCAGCTGTCCTCCGGAAGTAAGACTTCGTCGAAATCGAGTTGATCCGCTGCGTCCACTGTGAGCGCGATCTGCGCTCGATCGGGGAAGTCCCTGACCAGCTTCAGCTTCGAAACATGCACGATCGGGAACAGGTAATAGTCCGTACCAGCGATCTGAAGCTTCATCGTATACTCGTTCACCTTCTCTGCAACACGGAACGGGCCGTGCCACAGGTGGGCCAACTTCCGGGCATACCCCTCTTTCACTCGATCCAGGTACAGCCACACATGAGATCCAGCTTCGATCGAGTGCGGTCGAACTTCTTCATTGTGTCGATCGGCCCGATCCGCGATCGCCTCGCGTAGTCGAGCATTCACCTGACTTCGAGCCTGATCGTAGTGCTTCTGGATCCGATAACGCCACTGTCGAGGATCCCGATCCCGAGTCCGGGTACTACCCAAAGGTATCGTTGCCTCGAGCGTCGATAGAGGATCCCATCCATGCACTTCGCATGCAGGTCACATGTATTACCGCGTAGATCAGTCCGTCCACTTACTCGATTTACCGTGTTCTTGTTCACGAATGCATAGATCCAGTACCTAGAACGCTCGGCTCGTACCGGATTCCAACCCGACGAGCGTACTAGTTTGACATCTTCTCGGCGATCACGGGCAACATGCCAGCGTGCTTCGCCGGGTTGAACCATTGACGGATCTGGTTGTAGGATTCCTCCATCGGACACTTGCCCATCTCGTGTAGTTCACCACATCCACGGCACACAAACAGGCAGCGATCCGCCGGATGACCTCTCTTGCCACATTTCTCGCACGTCAAACGTCTCCAACAATCGAGATCGGTGTGTTTCCGCGATCCACAATGTGAGCAGCGGTTTGATCGCTCCGATCCGTCCGGTGAAGATCGCGGTCGTGGATCCGATCGAGGTGAGTAATGGTTGATCTGCGCCTGGTTGCTCCGATCCGGCTTCGTCGCGTTGCCCCCAGCGTTGCAGGACTTGTCCTCGGCCGACGCTAGGTAAACGCGGCGTAGATCACCCTCCGAGTCCGATCCGTCTGATCCCGTGTCCGATCCAGACCCCTGGCTCGCGATCTGTACTGCACGCACTGCCCGCTTGGTTGCAACAGCTGGTGCTGAGGTCGGAACTTTCTGACGATACTTCGATCCAAAGGCGGATCGCTTCTGTCTACTCTTCGCGCGCTCTCGAGCGCGCAGGACTTCCTCCAGATCTTCCGCGTCCGCAAGCCGGAGTAAGGTGAGCTGATCGGCCAGTCCCGGACCGCCCAGTGTCTCGATAAAGTGTTCGACATGTTCTCGGCGGGCCTTGGAATCCCCGTCCTTGATCTTCAATCTTGCCCGTAGAGCCGCCACATTCAGTCGACAGAGGTACTCCAACGGCGATTCATCCGATCTCTTGCGAGAATGATAATACTGCCAAGCGACCGATACTCCCAGGCCACAATACTGGATCTGGAAACTCCGGAGTAGATCGCTTCACTTGTTCCGCGTCGATCGGCCCAGCTGGCGGTACCAGTTCTTCGCCGGGCCCGTCAGTAGATCAGCGAAGGTCAAGCACTTCTCTTCGTCCGTAGCCTGATCTCGCAGGAACGCCGATTTCACCTTGCTGACCCACGATCGGGCGCGATCTTCGTCCTGATCCTTGCCACTGAACTCCTTGAGATCGGACATCGCGGAGATTCGCACGCGCTGGATCAAGGAGGACCCAGTGGATCCCGAGGCAGCGGTGGCCACCACAGCAGGGGCCGAACTAGGTAGATCAATATCGTCCGGATCGTATTCCCACTGGTAGGGATCTTGGTCCGGTGATCCGGCTGATTCCATCTCCACGTCCCGCGATCCAACGTTGTCGTCGACCACTGGAATAGGTGTTACCACCGTGGCCTGTTGTTCCTTCAGAAATCGAGTCATCGCAGCCTGAAAGTAAGACTCCAGTCTGCCATTCGACTAATCTGATCCGGTGGCACTGGTGGTCCGATCGGTCGACTTGGGTTTCTGCTTCCGAGGTCCTGACCGCATGCGTTCCTGACGTTGACTCCGTGATCGCGCGTCCAACATCGCAGATCCTGAAGGGCCGAGGGACATCCGTTGGGGTTCAGACGACGTATCCGATACATGTCCCGCTGCGGAGACATAAGGTGACGACGATCGGTACCCAGTGGACTCCACTCGCTGCGATGACACTGGAGCCGGCGACACTGGATCTGGCACCTTCGGGTCCGGACTGTCCGCGATCATGTCGACCAAAGGCCTCAACTTGTCGACCAATGTCTGGATCGCTGCTGGATCACATCGAGATCTTGATCGAAAAGATCGTTCGCTTCAAAGGCGCCAGCCACGAAGCCGGCTTCCTTCAACAGCCCGAGCAGGTTCTTCACCGCCATCAGCTTGTTATCCGTCACTCGGGGGGTCGAAATCGGGCCCTTCGGGTCGTCGATCTGCTCTGGCCGCGTGATCACCATGACAGGATCTTGACGCAAGAAATCTCGCAGTTCCTTCAAGTAATACTGACGATCCAGGTCAGCCTCAGACCAATCGAGCGCCGACGGTCTGGGATCTTCGTCGTCCAAGCCTGGTGCTCTCAGCTTCTTCCTCACGTTCTGGGTCTTGTCCGCGATCGCGTCCAGGTAGCCCGGATCGAGCCTGATCGGCGAGTCAGCGAACGCGTATCGGTCTGGTCCGCCTTAGTTTGTTAGTGAATCTCGGTTCGCACCAAGATCCACCGGGGTCCTCGAAGGGACCTGGGGAGGATGTTGAGGTTTGTCTTCTAGATCTGTCTCCAGATCGCCCTCGATTCCGTCGCCAGAAGTCCTCCGAGCACTCTGTCGATCCGCGGATCTCGTTTTGTTCAGCAGCGGCTTCGTCGATCCGATATCCTACGACGCCTCTTCCCCTGGTCCTTTCTTCACTTGCGCATCTTCTACGGACTCACGGTGAAATCCGGAGTCCCCACGAGATCCGGGCACGCGCACCATTGTGGTGTAGCGGGATCGGCCAAAATCTGGTTAAGGCCTGATCAAGCTTCCCACCAGCACCCAGACACCGACTAACGGAGGGGGCCCCCCAACGATCCGTGATCGGCTAAACTTGTTCTCACCTTGTGTACCCGTCGGCAGACTGGATCGGCTCTCTCGGGGCTCCGAAGATGCAGCGCTTGGTGAAGATCGAGTGTCTTGGCGTGACGCGGGGATAGTTTGTAGAGCAGCGCGGTAGTCTTCGCTCTGCGTCCGAGTATACGCTCCGATCGAGGGTTGTTCGCTGCGATCGGTCGGCCTGGAGTTGATCCAAGGCCTGTGGTTGCCTTTCCGGGTGTGTTCCTTCCTTTCCTGAGTTGCTTGTCGCTTCCTATAGCGAGATCGAGGTTGATCGAGAGGAGAAACGATCGTCGGCCAAGCACCAATACCCGGTCGATCGAGGACTTGCACACAAGAGATAGATCACTAGAGTAGGTCAAGCTGGCCAATGTATTAATCCAGTCTTAACCGTACCGCTAGTTCACTACCCAAAGTGTCGACGCTGCCGAGGCCAATGTAGTTCCTGGGACTTGGTGACTTGATGGGACTTGTGGTCTTCGGTGCAAATTCTCTTCTGATTTATGTTTAGCTGGTCTCTCCCTAATGCTACCATCTTGCTTACCCTCCTACAACCACACGATTACTGGATTCTTGCCCCGACTTCGTCCTCCATGTGCGTCCCATCCTGCTCGATCCACGATCGGCCCCGATCGGCGATCGACTCCGATCGGCCCCAATCGGCGATCCGCGGTCGATCTCGATCGGCGATCCACTCCCGATCGATGACTTATGCCAGTTGCCATGCGCCGCCGATCTATCACCTTCTGTCCTCGGTCATTTCAGATCCGCGGGTTCTGTCGTCGATCTGGACTTGGGTCGGCCACGAATCACGCCGCGGTTCGGGCACGATCACCCACAATCCGGCTTGCCACATGTCCTGCCTTACGCGCCGGCGTCATCGGACCACCTAAGATCTCCCGAAGAACTCCTTCTGATCCGTAGATCCTTGCTGCCTGTCTCTCGATCGCCGATCTCCCACGCCTCCAGTCGATCGGCCCTGCCGCCTTTCTCGGAGAACAATTCTTATTCAGCACTTCTCCACAATGCCGCCCACCCAAGCACCGCAGTGCGCAGGAGGTGAGCAACCTCGCGCTGGTGGTGATAATCCGACATATGGTTATCCTAGTTATGGCCAGTCGAAGCTCAGCATCCGAGACTTCGACGGGAAGGAAACGTACATGGGGCTCGGCGCAGGATTCGAGCAATAGGGACTTATGTTTATTGGCCAAGTCGACATGGCTGAGAGGGCCTGCGGCTTTCGCTGGCCAGAGGAGGTGAAGCTGAACAAGCTAGGGCAGCACCTTGTCGGGAAGCCTGGAAGGTTCTTCCGTGAGCAGGCGAACACGTGGTGGACGATCTGCCCGTTCCTGTTCTACGCATTGGAGCAGATGAACGCGAAGTTCATGGTACGCTTGTCCATGCAAAACGCGGCCGTAATGTTCACGGCGCCCAAGGACTCGGGCCGGTCGTGGAACGACCACTTTCTCTATCTGACTGCTCTGATGCGAGCAACGGACGCTTCGCCGGCGATGGTCCTGCAGAACATCATTCGCCACGCGTCGCCGAGATTCAGCCCGACCCTGCTTGGAAGGTACGATGAGACTCGGCCGGACCTGATGCTGCATGCTCAAGAGTTAGTGCAGTTTGCGCAACGTTTTGATACGGACGCCATGAACCAGAAGGAAGCCGGGAAGGTGCTACAACTGCGGGAAGACTGGGCACATTGCCCGCATGTGCCCACACCCAAAGCGTCAAAAGAAGACTGAAGGGGGGAAGCCGAAGGGCTGGGCGCTCGCAGCCACTGGAGGCCCAAGCAAGGACGAGGGCTGGATCGTGGACAGCGGAGCGATGTGAATGATGCGAGCGTGCTGCGCGACGCGAAGGACTGCGCCGGGACCGAGCCGCTCACGCAGCCAGACGGAAATGGGCTGCAGGTTACGAAAGTCGGGACAGTCATATTTCGTGGAGGAGACAGCGATGCTGCCGCTCTCATTACCGTCAGCAATGTCTACCACGCGCCAACGCTCACTCGCAATTTACTGTCTTTGGGACAACTGGCCAAGCGTGGATGTGCTCTGGCAGAGAAGGACGGGAGCCTCGTGATCGCCACCGGTGGCGAAACGGTCTTCCGAGTACGGTTTAAGCACGACGTCCTGATCGCTGACTTGGCCGCAGTTCGGCCAACGCCGCACGCAGGCATCGCCTTGGCGATGAGCGCAGTGATGTCGCCGGCGGTAGAGGACGACGTGGAGCGTGGATCGCTCATGTATTTCCACGAGCGTTTCGGCCATTTGGCGCTGGACACGGTGGAGAGGATCGCCCGTGACCCACACTCCGGAATATATCTCACTGACCACACGAGGAAGAGGTGTGTGGTCTGTGCGGAGGGGAAGCAATCGAAGCGGCGCCAGTCGAAGGCGGACAGCGGGGAGAACGCGCCAACCGAGCGCGTCGGAGGCGTCATCTGCAGCGACTTGAAGGGCCCGCTGACACCGAGGGACCGACACGGCAATCACTACTTGGTTAACTTTATTGACCACCGCAGCAACTACTGCCGCGTGTTTGCGGCCAAGACCAAGGATGAGGCTGCGAGGAAGTTTCGCGACTTTCTAACTTTCTTTGAGAAGCGATTCTCTTGTAAGATCCATGTCCTGCGGACCGACGGAGGAGGAGAGTACAGAACGGTCGACCTGTTCTGCAAGGACGAAGGCGTCTCCCGACAAGTGAGCGAGGCCTCCAATCAAGCCTCGAACGGCAAAGCAGAACGCATGCATCGTACCATCTTCAATATGGTGCGGTGCATGATCTTTGATTCGGCCCTGCCAACAAGTTTCTGGAGTGACGCGGCTGAATACGCTACGTATATCCTGAATCGTAGCTCATCAAGGTCAAACGAAGACCGAAAGTCGCCGCTCGAGGTTATCACCGGCAAATCACCTGGACTTCGTGATGTGGTGGCGTTTGGAGCGTCGTGCACGGTGCGGCGGGATCCAAAGAAGAAGCCACTACAGAAGCGCGCGGTGGTTGGGCGAGTCATTGGCAAAGACAGTGAGACAAAGGGATACCGCGTGTATCTGCCAACTGAGCACGTCGTCGTCGTATCGCGCAGCACGAAGACCGCCCAATTCACGTAATTGACGCCAAGGAGGCATCTGCCGCGACGAGCCTACCGGGACCTGTGAAGCCAGCACTGCCTGCAAAGAACCCACCGCCGGTGCCGGAAGCAGCGAAGCCCGCGCAACGACGCTCAACTAGGAAGCGTCGCAAGTCTCGGAAGCAGCGCGAAGCTGACGACGCGAAAGGAGGACCATGCATGTCTGCCCAGTCAGCGTCTGGAGGAGGCTCGAATTGCTCAAGCAGCCCTGACGCACCGGTCAATACCGCATTCGCTGCTAGCGAGTCCTTGCCGGACCCTAAGAACTGCCAGGAAGCTCATCGGAGCGCGGATGCAGCACAATGGACAGCCGCCGAACTGGAGGAGCTCGCGGCGTTGATCGCCAACGCAACGTGGACGCTAATCAAGTGCGAACCTAACACGCCGAAGCTTCACGCAAAATGGGTGTATAAGAAGAAACGGGACTCGAGCGGGGCTGTCGAGCGCTACAAAGCTCGCCTCGTGGCTTGCGGGAATGAACAAGTACTCGGCGTCAACTATACTCTGACCTTCGCAGCCGTCCTTGAGATGACCAGTGGCAAAGTGATTTTCGCGCTCGCCAGGATCTGGGGGGTACGAGCGTGCCACGGGGATGTTCCTAACGCCTATGTGAAGGCGATGACGGAAGATGGCATTGAGATCGTGCTTGTGATCCCGAAAGGCATGGACATCAGCAAGGAAACGCTCGCCGAACTCGGGGCTAACGACGTGAAAGAGCTGGGACTGCGCCTTGACCGCAGCCTCTACGGACTAAAACAAGCAGGAAGACAGTGGCATCAGTTACTGCACCGGACACTGCTTCAAAACGGGTTCACGCAGTGCGTCACGGACAGCTGCCTGTACTTCAAGGCGGACCGCTCCGGCACAACACTCGTGGGGACGTATGTCGACGATCTTCTCGTGACAGGGACGTCGACGGAGCGTGTGGACGCATTCTTCGCGGACATACAAGTGCTCTCCCTAAAAGACTTAGGGCCGGCGACGATGTTTCTCGGTGTGAACATTGAGTACGACGACAAGTCGGGCTATCCGTTTGGACAAAAGCACGCAATCGAAGAACTGCTGCAGAAGCATGGACTAGCTCAAGCTCACCCAGCCCGGTGCCCGATTGGAGAAGACCAGAATGTACCCATCACTACGGACGAGCTGCTCCCCGAGTCGCCTACACGCTCGGACCCGTCGGTGCCGACGATCAAGATGTTCCAGTCGTTGGTCGGAGCGCTACTCTGGATCGCGAGATGCACGCGCCCCGACATCGGCTTTGCAGTTCACCGTGCAACGCGGCGCACTCATGCACCCACCTTGCAGGATTGGAAATTGGACAAGCGGATCGCGCGATACCTGGCTGGCACCTTGGATTTAAGATTCCACATGGTCAAGGATCACCCGACCACTTCGGCGATCGAGCTGGTGTGTTACACGGATGCTGATTTTGGCGGCGACAGGGTGGACCGAAAGTCGGTCAGTGGTGCAGTTCTCTGTATGAATGGCATGGTCGTGGGGTTGATGTGCAAGAAACAAAGCTCCGTCGCTCTTTCTACGGCAGAAGCTGAATTCGTGGCTGCATCAGCAGGTGGGCAGGAGCTGTTGGGCCTGAAGGAACTTCTAGGTGAGCTTGGCGCTGAGGTCCAGCTTCCGACCAAGCTTCTCATGGACAATCAAGCCGCGATACTACAAGTCAAGAATGAAGCAAGCTCTGGCCGTGTTAAGCATATCGACATCCGGATCAAGTTTCTCCGCGATTATGCTGCAAAAGGCCTCGTCGAACCCCAGTACATCGGCACTCACGACATGATCGCCGATATCCTCACTAAAGCTCTGCCTGCGCCTCGTATTCTGGCGCTTCGCGCTGCGTGCGGATTGTGGTAACCCCACCGGCATCGGGGAGGAGTGTTGGAAGGAGCTGATACCGCTGGCTCAACTGAGCGACAACGCCGCATCGCGCTGTCAGCGCCTCACAACGCTGCATCGTGCTTTGGATACTTCGCACAAACGACACCACAAGGCTTGGAACAACGACACGCTAGCTAGACAACCGAACTACAAGAGGGAGGCACATGAGAGAAGAGATAGCAGTAGCTAGCGCGCAAAAGCAAAATAAACTCACTTCACATTCTTCTCCTCGCAGCGCAAGTGAACCTTCCGACAAAACCAAGAACGCAACGGTGAGTAGCAGTCGAGAAATTCCCCCCTCAGTTCTACGAGAGTATTACACTACCACAAAATAGATATGTAGCTCTGATCTCTCACCAATATAGAGTAGGGGAAATGTTAAGACAGGGAGATTTCCCTGCTGCAGCACATTCTCACAGCCCGGGGTCTTGGCGTGGAAAACGATCTGCAGATTAAAACACATAGTGCTTTTAGTGTAAGTAAAATTGCAGGGTTTCTTAATAAATATTCTTCACGATCGGCACCTTGTCTGTGAGATGAAGCTCTTGGGATGTCGCGAGTGAACGCGGAAAGAGTGGCAGCAGCGATTCCAGCACCTGCAGCATTCGCTCGTCGAACGGTTCGGCCCAGCGCTTGCTGGTCCATTGTGGATATGAAAACGAGGTCCAGACAACAAATTCAACAAGTTCGAATCCCCTTATTCTTATCGTCGTAGTCGTTTTGATACGACAAACGAGCTTCGCGTGCGCGCTGGTAGTAGCGCTTCTGCGCACCTTTGATACGCTCCTTGCTAGCTTGGTATTGCTCAGGAGAGTACGCCACCTTTGTCAGGAAATCAAATCGTTTAACCTCAAATGGAACTTACGATACGCGACGACGTCAGTCTACAGCAGGTGCCATCTCATCGTACTCTCTCCACTTCTTCTCTGTCTCTTTGCGCTTCCACTCCATGCAGTCGCAAAACACCTTCTTGTTCTGTACGTAGACGAATGTTCGCATCTCCAAACCATCATCCGACAAAACAAAGCCATCTTTCAATCGCAGTGCGATGAGTTTTGCGAATCCAGCATTCCACGCGCGCACAACCAAATTGATCTATGGCATCGTAATTTATGTTAGACCAACAGTAGTCAGCACATGCTAAAAAAACTCGTACCTTGTATCTGTTGCCGATTACAAATCCTTCAGATGTGGACTCGACGGAAATTTTTAGCGTCGGCACCGTGAACGACCGAGCATCAAACCACTCGTGCATTTCTGCAGAAAGAGCAAGGCGATTGCTTGGGTCGTTGTCATAGTTATTGTAGCTTGGATGTTTCTTGCAATGCTCTCTGGACATCACATGACAGCTCTGCGCCTTTCCCACTGTCCCGAACCACTCGTCATTCTCGATACGCTGGTACTTGAATTCGTCAGTCGCCACGTCAACGATCGAGGTGCTGGACGAGAAAGACGTCATTGAGACTTGAGGGGACTCGGTATCATCTGGAACATAATGCAAGGCAACGATGCGTCGCAGTTCGCTTAACTCCCGAGAAACTGGGGCTACAGTCGTCGAGATTGTGTGGCCATCGAGTGGGGAAGTTTGCTTGATACCTTCGGTCTGCAGTTCGTTTTCAAATAGCAAAGCATCCCTCTCTGTACAACATCTGTGAGACATCAACCAGCACAGTTCTACAATAACCAAAATGCATACCTTCTTTGAAGAGAACATGGATCCGCAGCATCGCCTCATCATACCACAGCGCCTTGTCGGTTTCGCCAGCACGAAGGTTGGGATCGTAGTATCCAAGGTATGACCCCGCCAGTCGGTACAGCCTGCAGCGAATCTCTTTCGTGTTCAGCGCGTTGTCAACGGACCCAGTGACAAGCCACAATTCAGTTTGTGCGTGTTCTTGCTCCGGAAGCATCACCAGCACGTTCACCGGGCCTCTCCCTGCTGCTTCTCTTGGGCATCCACTTCGCTGACAACTTCATCCGACAGCCCCACACTAAATAGCTTCACCCGCACCACTTCCAACCGCACGAGGCCCGTGATGTCCGCTCTTGACGTCTGCCTCCGTCAGCCACTCACCATCCCTCTTCGCCACGTAGAGCTCCAGCTTGTCTGCGTCGATGTCCTTGAAGTCGTTCGTCTTCTCCGCCTTGATCGCCTTCTTCAAGTCGTCCACCGTGTCGCTCTCATCTACTCGCACCGAGAACGCGCTGCCTGCCACACCTACGACCGCACAGAAGAGCTTCACCATCTTTCCTCGAGGCGGCGGATTCTGGAATGGACAATTGAGAGAATTCTCATCGTATTTAAGCAGAATGACACCTTTCACGGAGCTGCAGGAGCTCGTGGACAAGTTTGAGTGCAGTAGATTTTCATTTGTCGATGAACGTTGACCGAATCCTCTTTGACCTACCTACGCGGATTGAGTTTCGGCCCAGCAGGGTTGTTTGTCGGATAGAACGTAGAGCAGATCGTCGCCCGTGACGACTTCAAACGGCTGGGGGTTCACGTACACGTAGCCGAACGGCACGCTGCGCTCCTTCTCGGGCACTTCAATGCGCGGCTTTGGCTCCTTCTCGTCCATAACGTTCATGTAAGGGTGGCAGCGATAGAGACCGATCACGAGAATGTCATCCGACGACAGCAGGTAGTGGAAGACGTACTCGAACGAGCGACCGACAAAGTCCAGCGGTACCTCGACGGCAAACAGAGAGCTGCGGTGGAGCTCTGGCTTGGACTTGTCTCCACGCAAATGGGCCCACGCGTCACTCGCCCGAGAGCTGAACATGAACTCGCCCAGGATGTTCTTGATGCGGCCGTTGAAGAACTGGTTGATGAGCAGACTGTCACACAGCGACCAGCTGTACGTCAAGCCGGACGTGAACGCTGGAGACAGGAAGAAGTTGCGCGAGAACGTCTCCGACGACGAGAACATGGTGAGCTCATTGCTGCCGTCAGGCCCAGAGAACCAGCCGTTGGCCAACAGGTTCTGCGCCACGAAGTGCACGCTGGCGCGATTCCCAACCTCCATGATGACTCGCGGCGCCTTCCACGTTCCGATGAAGCTCGTGATAAACTTGTGCAGTGCAATCGATTCCGCGTCTTGAAGCAGTTCGGAGTCGTTGTCCGATGCAGAAGTCGAGATACCCAAGATAATCACGCGATGGGCGTCGGAAACACCGGCGCGGTTCAGGCTTTTGTGGTGATACGGGTCTCCAATGACGAAATGCACGTCCGGGAAGTGGCTGAAGCCGTCGTAAATATCTTCGTCCGGAAGCTTCGCTGTCAGGATCACGATCGGGTGGTACTGCTTCAGCGAACGAGTACGCAGCGGTCCGATCAGGTGCTCCAAGTCATTGGAAAATGCCGTCTCGGTAGTCACACAAATCACGATCGGAGCAACCCCGAAGCCAAGCTCTTCAACGTCATGGATAACCACGTCTTTGGCGGTCTTCGAGGCCTTTTTGACGGGGGCTTCCTCGCGGACCTGATCTACCTCAGACTCCTTTTCAGGCTCCGGGGTTTCGTAGTCTCCGAACTGCCAGTGCACAAAGCGCGCTTGGTGCCGCTTGAGAGAAGCTTCGACGCCATGGCCATCGCTTGAACCCGTTTCGCTGCGAACAAGGGAGGAAGGAGACGAAACTTGCATCTCTCGCCACGCGAGTGGCATTGAAACATTCGGGGACATTTCAGTCAGCGCGCTGGCATCAGCTTGAGTTTGAGCAATAACGTATGCGGTCTCACCACCCACACACGTATACGTATCGCCAGGATTGAGGATCACCTTGCCTCTTGGACCATCGGCAACAGCAAAGACGATGATTCCATTGCAGTGCGAGTACGCCAAAGACGCCAGCTCTGAGAAGGTCTTGCCTGCAATCACGGATGCCGGGGGCAGCTCAACCACGTAAACCTCGTGACTCGCACCGAGCAGATACCTGTCCACCCACGAGCCTTCGCCGTTATCGATCGCCTGCGTTCTGTTGGAACGCTTTGCGTCGCTTCCGAGTCCTTCGTCGTTATCGTCGTCGAAGCTTGAAGTCGATGTCAGGCTGTACATGAACGTCGAGAAGCCAGGGCAAATGCAGTTTTGGCCCAGCAGTGACAGCGCCACCTCCGAGAGGCAAAGCACATTCTGAACGCCAATATCGCGGACTAGCTGGCAGTGAATAGACCGATGAAGTTGCGCGAAGATGCGCGCCTTGGGGGCTTGGCGTTTAGCGGCAAGCACGCGCATCAACGTGCGGTGGTCACTGACCGAAAACTCCTCGTCACCCTTGCGGTTGGTCAAAATGAAGATGGCCTCAGCAGAGTCACATGCAGCGCGCTTGGCATCGTCAATGTCGAGCAGCGAACCCTGGATAAACCACACGCGCTTCGCAAAGAACGGGTCCAGTAGCAGCGCTTTGAGCGACGTAGCCGGAGGGTCCTCACTCAGTACAATCACGTGGACGCCAACGAAATCGTGGTCGTTGTGGAAAATCTCGTGGAAGAAGTGGCTGATACGGGACGCTGTGAGGTCTCCACACAGCACAACATGGTGGCTATTCGACGACGGCTTGTAGCTGGCTTCCTCGTACGCCGAGACAGAGTTGCTCAGGTCCATAACGTTCGAGATCTGATACGGGATGACCAGGATGAAGATGCAGACGAGCATGCCCACGAAGATCTTGGACAGGTTGTTCTCCGACGGCGGCTTGTCGATCGTCACGAATGTCATGACGGAGTTGAAGAACGAGTTGAAGAAGGTCCACTCGCCAAGGTTCTTCACAGACAGCGTGCCGTCCATCGTCTCAGCAATCTGAATGATGCCAGCAGCTCCAAGCAAGATGCATGCAATCTGCAGGTAGCACAGGAACGCGAACTGGCGCACCGGGTTCAAGTACGCATGGCAGCGGCTCAGCACCGCCTTGCCCGTCAGATAGCACATGGCGAATCGCACAGGGTAGACAAAGCGCCACCATGACTCGCCATACCAGTACGTGCTACAGTAAATACAACAAACCCCAACGGGGTAAGTATTGATGAACCTTCGGCATAAAGGCAGAAAGAAACCAACAGCACGACTCACTGGTAGCGGATGAAGAAGGATGCTGGAAGCACCGGAACAATGATCACAAAGTTGACGAGCGCTGGCATCGAGAGCAGAAACTCTTTGCGACGACTGGCCGAGAGATACACGCCGCGGTAGGCGAAGTCAAGCGTGAACAGCGCCGCGCAGATCACCTCGACCACCCAGATCGAGTGCGGCATCTAGAATTCCAGCAGCAATAACAACAACAATAATTTTCAATACCTTCTTCAGCAGCACTATTGGCACAGCACAGTTCGCACGTCGTTGTACGGGATGTACGTGTTGGCGACGTACGTGCCGGCGAAGACGACGGACACGAGCGCCATGAAGCTGTCGATGGCGGCGCCGAGGTTGCCATTGTCCAGGTGGCTGCGCTCCAGCATCACGACAACATGATTATACATGGTGGGTACATTTCCTACACAAAGATAAAGTCACGCACCGACTGATGCGCTCGATGTCGCGCGCATTGCCAAAGATATTGAGCTGCTTGGCGTCGGACGCCGCTTTGGCGCTAGCGGCGGCGGTCTGAGGCGGAGGTGCATAACATACGGTCGTTAGAGCGCAAAGGCTTATCTAGGACTGTTGTGGATGCTGCCACGCACCTCCGGCACGCTGCCGTAGCGCGAGGCGTCGAGCTGGCGCAGCGGCTGGAGCTCCATCGGCTGCGTATCAGGTGGCGGAATGAGAGGCATCGTCGACTGGGTACACATTGTGTACGCCACACCATAGATCGTTAGATGTTCTAAACTAGAACCTCTATACATGTAAATGCAGTTTAGAACTGATACTTTTCACCCTAACTGATATAAAATTCGTTATAAACGGGTAATATATTAACCTACCCCTATTTGAATCAGCGGCTGCAACGTCACACGTTCGCCACGTTGCGCAGTGTGAGTATCCAAGAGCAAGTGGATCCCGTGGGGGGCTACGTACATGCGGATCCTGTGCACGTCCGACACGCTGAACACGACTGCAATGCAATGTACAGCGGAGCTACTGTAGCTTCACATTTGTATTTCGCTCTTGATGACTGTTGTTTCTCGCGTTTTCTTGATCATACACAAACCTGCGAACGGCATCTACCCTAACGAAGCGACCGGCGCAGCAGCTCCAGACGTCTCTCTCCTTCGAGCTCTGGGGGTGCTGCTGCTGGTGCCGCCACCTTCTTTCTGTCTTTTCTCCTCTTGCCCTCTGTTTCTCTCTGTGCCTGGCTGTATGACGTCAGTTGCTAGTTGGGGGGATCCGCGTCATTGAACTTCGCCGTCGCCGTCGTCAGCGTGAGCTTCGGACACGTGGACGCGCTTAGACCACGGACGGCTTGCACTTCTGCTTGTGGGAGGCCTTCCAGTCCTGCTTCTGGCACTCGGCGCCGCAGTACCGCACCACCTTGCAGCGCGAGCACACGAGCGTGGACGGAGCCTTGCACACGCGGCAGCGGAGGGCAGCCTCACGCTTCTCGATCAGCTCCTTGTCAAAGCTGCACAGCAGAATAAAAACATAAGAACGTCAGCAACTATGAATTATTGCGATTGCAGATGCAGTAGCAGGAGAGAGAGGCGTACCCGAGCTTCTTCATGTCCCGCCAGGTCTCCATGGGCTCGGCGCTAGACTGCGTGTGGTACATGTCCTTGAAGCCCTTGAGCGTCAGGCCCTTGTTCTCGTCGCACTGGAAGTAGGTCTGGATCTCCTTGATCTCCTCGTCCGAGAAGGGTTTGCCGTCGTTGCAGATCTTGCTGAACTCCTTGAGCTTGTCGAGCGTCAGGCTCTTGTCCGTGGGCTTCTCGAGGAACGAGATGAAGAGCCGCGTGAGCACGGCCTCGAAGTCGCGCGTGAGGTTGCCGTCCTTGCCGATGAGCAGCGCGCGCACCTCGTTCTCCGAGATGCCGTCGTCCTGCTGGGTCTTCTTGGGGGCCATGGTGCTGTGTTGTGTTGGGGGGGGCTTCTTGTCTCCGGGGGGTGGTGACCAATCTCGAAATGCTCGGATGCGTCGAGCGGACGGGTGCCGTGTAGCTGCCGCCCCTGCGAGACTTGATACCCCCGTTCAAAGCAATCCACCAACCAAGCGCAAGAGATACTGCTTGCTCTTGTTGTAAGGTCGGACTGACCTGCGATATCGAATTCGTATCCAGCGCCGATTGGCTGAAAAGCGTCCGCTCGACGGACGCAAAGAAAAGCCTGAGCGGTGTGGTCGCACACCAAATTGCCGCGTGGCAAGCAACTTGCCGGTCGTCAAAACGAGCCTCGACGTTGGCTCGCGCAAGTCCCGGCGTGGCATATCTCGCTTGCGTCGTCGTGTGGCGTCGTGACTGTCCTGCGTGCCATAGGCAACGTCCGGACTCGAATGATGCTGCGCGTTCGGAGCGCGAAACCGCTCGAGCGCGAGCCAGAGGCTGAAGGACTCGGCTGGTTCGGTTCACCCGACCGGTTGACCACCCCGCAGATAGGTAAGCAACACCACCGTATCCGCTCTCTTTCGCGTCGGCCCCTCGGTGGTGACCATTGTGGGCTGTTACGGTGTATCTGGCGATGTTTGGATCCGCATCTTCACTCCGCCTCGGCAAAGGTTGCAAACGCCCAACTGAGACTTATCCACGGTCTCACCTGCAGCGGCGGACAAATAATATATCGCTGTTGGTGAATACAGAACCTGCGAGAGTTCTGCAGCACTTTCGTGCATGTAGCTATCGGACCACGTAGTGCTTGCTATCCACAGCCTGCTGCTCTGCTCAGCTTTGACCGACTCGAAAGTCTTGAAACTCTAAGCAGAAACTCTAAGCAAGCAGTACGTGATTCTCCTACCCAACGGCCTGGAAAGAAGCCAGCTACCGGTACAGGTAACACGGATACTGGAGCAGCCTGCAAAGGGCCTTCAACACGGCAGTTGAACTCCTCTGCGCGCGCCGGTAGTCAGTGCTCCCCCGCCAGTTTCGAACTGGGCGCTCGTCATTGGTCGAAAAAGCGGGCCATCACAATCACTTAGGAGGGAGAGAGCAGCTCACAAGACACGCCCAGACGAGTGACCAGTGACCGGCTGCGAGCGCCCACGAGCTCCGCTTCTCCGCCTCGGCAGCAGCATCAAGCAGCCCAGCTACACGTCCAACAGCCGCCGCAGTATCGACTCTACAGGCGCCATCGGGCCTTCTCCCTCTCGTCCGTCTCTGGCGCCCCAGAGCTCCATCATGGACGAGGACAAGCCGCGCCACTACCCGCTCTCGGCGCGCTCCAACGCCGTGTACAACAACTTGAACCTGTCGGCGCGCTCGCGGCACGTCATTCAGCCAACTAGCAGCTTGGGGAGCCGCTTCCCGGCCTCGGAGCGCTCCAGACAGATGAACCTCAGCCAAGTGTCCACGGTCTCCGCCGGGGGCTTCGACGAGATGAGCCGCGCGTCCCGCTACTCGACGGCGTCCTCGGCCTCCTCCGCCTACTCGACAACGTCGTCGGCCGCCTCGTCCTACGGCGGGGGCGACCGCTGGGCCCCGCAGCACGCCTCCAACTCGTGCAACCTGTGCCACGAGAAGTTCTCGCTGCTGCGCCGCTCGCACCGCTGCAGACGCTGCGGCTACTTGTTCTGCGCCAGGTGCTCCAGGTACAAGGCCGCGCTCACGGGCCACACGCACAAGTCCAGGCTCTGCGAGACGTGCTTCCCCAAGGTCCTGTCCGGCAGCAAGCCCCCCATGAACGCCTTCGTGCACTCCAAGGCCTGGGTGCCGCGCGGCGTCTTCACTCACATGCTGAGCTACCTGAACCACGTGGATCTGTGTCTGGCGTCCATGACGTGCCGATTCTGGTACAAGAGAGCGCTGCTGGACATCACGTGGCGTCCGCTGTACATCAAGGAGTTCGGCGACGACGAGAGCAGTCCGCAGCGCGAGTCCCTCGTGGCCTTCCAGCGCGACGTACACGGCATTGGCTTCGAGAACTTGTCGTGGTATAACAAGTTCGCCATCCGCTGGTCCGCGCGCAAGGCCGCAGAGAAGAAGAAGAGCTTCCTGGTTATGTCCAGTCTGCTGGCGTCGCTCAAGCTCAGCAAGTACGCAGCGCTGTTCGAGGCCGAGGAGATTGATATCGAGTCGCTCTGTCTCATGAACGCCGGCCACCTGCGCGATCTTGGAATCCCGTTCGGTCCCCGCATGAAGCTGCTGAACGCTGCAGCTTGTCTCGCCGACTTTAACGAGGATGATGATGACGAGCGTCCGTCCATGGAGTCGAAGCCTATCACGCCAGTCGCTCGCTTTAAACAGAAGCGCGCGGAGATGAAGCACTTCCGTGCTGGACTGGTGCGTCGCGTACAGCAGTCAGCCGTTCGCATCGCCATTTTGACGAACGAGGGAGAGCTCTGCAATGTTGGATCTGGTATTATCATTCACGAAGATGGACTTATTGCCACAGCGCGCCACTGCCTGCAGGGCGAACAGTTTGACTGCATCTACAGTGACGAGTATATGATCCTGGTAGCCCCCACCGAGTCTACGTCGTTGCCGCCGCTGTGGAAGTATCATGCGCGTGTTATCCCCGAGTGCTGCAATGAAGAGCTGGACTACGCACTACTGCGCGTGGAGTGTGAGGTGATTTCGGACCCGCCTAGTGGACTGTACATTGGCGACGTGACGGACCGCATGATCGCGCGCAACTGGACGGTGACAAAACTGGAAGGCACCTCTCGAGAAACTATCGGCAAGCTCCCGGCCGTGCGTATCGGTAACTCGAACAACGTGGAGCCAGGAGACGAGATGTGGATGTTTGGCTACCCTAGCAGCGGTCACAACACCATCACCGTGCATCACGCTATCTGCTCCGGCACAGACTCTCAAGTGTACGAGGGCGAGGAAGTGGACAAGGCGATGCTCCGCACGGCGGCGCAGCTGGACAACGGCTTCAGCGGCGGCGCGGCCGTGGACAAGAAGGGTCAGCTCGTGGGCCTGATCTCCTTCAGCGTGCTGCGCCAGGACCGCGTGCGCGCCATCAACATGGTCAAGGGAGCCATCGAGTACGCCAAGCGCGAGTACAACTTCTCATGAGGAGGTGCAGCGGTGAGCTGAGTGCGCAGGCCACCTCACTCACCCCCAAGTAGTAAAAAAAGCAGCAACAGTCGAACGCGAAGACTGCCGTCGTAGTTGTCGTCGCAGAGCGTGAGTGGTGTCGTAGTATTTCAAGGTGGAAGGTGGGTAGTTTTTTAATTGAGAAATAAGTTGAAGCTAGCAGCGATCTCCACGGCTAGCAACAAGATACTCTTCATGGTCAAGTCAAGTTGCAGTGGTAATACCAGTGTACCCATCTCCCCGCTTAGATACGACTAGGGAGGAGGCTGTGTCCACCACACCATTTGCCAAAAAGCGTCGTAGGTAGGAGGCTCTACCTGCGTGTGTGCTACCTATCCTCCTTCACTTCACTTCACCTCTAGCCGAACACCGCGCAAAGATGGAGGAGAAGGGCTCGGAGCCGGTGGGCGTGACGCTCTACCCGGCGGACTACGAGGCTGTGGAGATGGTCACGGACCAGGGCAAGGAGACCCTGCAGCAGTAAATACCACCGCCAATTATTGCAACCTCTTGTGTCTACATTATCGCTAAAGATTAATGATATCCTCCTATTATTTTTATTATGCAGGGACTTCACCGAGGCGCAGCTGTTCCTGCACTCGATCCAGGAGCTGGAGCGCGTCCGCACTGAGCGCAAGAAGAAGAAGCAGAAGACGGAGGAGCCTGAGCCCAATGGCGTCAAGACGGAGGAGGGAGCGGACGAGTCCATGGAGGCTGCTGAAGCGGTGGAGAAGCTGGAGGAGGCTGTGCAGGGCGCAGAAGAGGAGGAGGAGGACGTCATTGACCCCAGAATCCACTACCGCCCCATGGTGGCGGAGCTGCAGGCGGCCGTGGCGGAGCTGCACCAGCTGATCAACTCCATTGACCTGATCCGTCGTCGTGACTTTCTCGAGGAAATGCGCTGCATTAGAGAGAACACGGCGCCCAAGAGGGAGGAGATTGAGCACCTCGTGGAGGCCAAGAGCGCGCAGGTGAAGGAGAGCGGCACGATCTTGCTGGACGGCGTTGAAGCGCTCGCCAAGACGGTGGAGAAGGAGAGCGTGTTCTTCCAGGGTATCACGCAGATGCTGCGCAAGTGGAAGATCTGTGCGCCAATCCACGGAAATATCCCCAAGCCGTTCCGAGCGGGAGAACCGCTGGCGGTTGACTGCAGCTACGGCTGTGGTGAGTGTGTGTTTGAGCTTGGAATTGTGTGGGCGAAGGAGACTTACGAGGTTGTTGTGATGCTCGTATAGCGGGGTCAATTTTTGTACCACAGACGCGATCGATCGCTGATCTTGCGTATGCTGAAGTATGTGTTCGTTGAAGTGAGAGGTGTTATTGATCCTCGTGGCTAACTTTTGAATTGTTGCTGCTGCTAGTTGAGTCGCACGGAAAAGGGACTAGTCCGTGTGAAGACGCCGGAGGACTTCCTGGCTCGTACAATTCAGGTGTGTAGACAAGTCCACCGAAAAATCGGCAGGTTTTGTCGTATCTGACGTTGTGCTTCGTTTATTCTGATGATATCAGCTGAAACTTGAAGCAAAGGATACTGGAAATGAGGGAAACTACACATTACCGCCGCCTCAGCTGATTCACATGTACGATGATATCTGTGCATGAACGCGCGAGCACAGAACTGACTCGTATGCTGGTTATAAATGCAGGACGAAGGCAGAGATGGATGCACTAGAAGATACCCCTGAGGACCGTAAGATCTTGGATGAGCGGAACGTGTCAGTTCTGCGAGCAGTCCAGTTCTCTGTGTTCTGCGAGGAGCTCTTTTACACGCTGATGAAGGAGGCTCTCCAGAACACGTCCAAGTGGACTGACACAGCGTACAATATTAGCAACTACGTGGTGAAGAAGCACGGCAGGGAAGATGGCGCAGCGACGGACACGCACATTTCTGTTCTGCAAGTGCTGGATGACGAGGTTCAGCTCCGCGTGAACGAACGGTATCACTTGACAATCAAACTCGTAGACGTGAAGAGTTTGACAAAGAACGAAGACACAGCTACGGAGAAAACAGGAGAAGCAGCGCCAGGGGTTGTTGCGGATCAGGCACAGGAAACAGAGCCAGAGGTCGATGTGAAGATGGAAGAGCCCAAGGTGGACGACACTCAAATGCCGACCACCAGTCCAGTCAAGCCCCGCCGTGCTGCATCGATCTCGTATTCAACTCCCATCGACAGCGACGAAGCCTTTTTGACACAGACCTGTCGGTACACGCTCCTGTTGCTACAGCAGGAGATCCGAACCCGGCACGGTCGCAAGGAGATTTCTCGGGCATTGCTGTACACAGGCTTGGATGTATCGACGGCTTCTGGAGGTGCGACGGGCAGCGCGGGTGCTGGTGGAGCAGGTGCCGCTGGTATGGGCCCTGCGAGTGAGGTGGACAAACATGACAACAAGCCAGGAACGCTCGCCACAGTGTTGGCTGCTTTGGCGCACAACCTGCTGAAGAACGAGGTGGCCCGATACATGGACGAGGTGTCTTCAGTACTCGCCTTCCAGAAGCTGCAGACGTCGGCATCAGGTCGTGTGCTGGACGACGGTTTCCTGCAGCCGATTTGCGACTCGGTGCGGGGTGTGTACGTGAGTCCGCGATGGAAAACGTGCGCGTTTGACTCGACGCTGTCAGCCTTTGACCTGACTATTGGCAAGAATTTCTCGACTGAAGTGCTCATCTCTGGAGCGCGTATTCTTCTTCAGACCGGGATCGCGACCCAGCGCGAAGTGTCTGGCGTAGAGGGTCTGCGCGAGTTCGTGGAGACGACCGTGTGCTCTCAGGTGGCATTGGCGCTGCACCGCGACGCGCTCTCGTTCGGACTAAAGCAGAGCTCGATGAATCTGGACCGCACAAGTGTCCGCCTCGTGGTCACCGGCGAGTGGGACGGCAGCTGCATCGGCGAAGGTCGTGTCTCCGACTCGCGCTCAGTCGGCTCGATCTTCCTGGAGCCGTACTTTGCGGCCGACGGCAGCCTAGCCATCAACTGTTTGCTGCAGGCCGTTGACGCGAGCAAGCTGGCGCCTCTGCAAGCCACGCTCTGTCGCTCGGCGTCCGGCGAGGTGCACAAGGTGGAGTGGAAGCGGATACCTGGATCCAGCGACGCGGGCAAGATGCTCTGGCTCATGCAGAAGACCGGTGTGCTATCCGACCCCTTCAAGCAGCCCCCTAAAGCGAAGACAGCACAACTATCGAACGGCAGCAATTAGTCCCCGAAATGACTTTGAAAGAACGAGGTTCAAAGCAGTAGACAGCGAAATCAGCCAAGAAAGCTTCGAGCTCGACACCTGATCAGACGGTTAACGCAATAGCAGCATCTCATTTGTCTTAGACCTCACCGAGCAAGTCGTGTCTGCAACGAACACAAACCCCGCAGAGCTGCTGACATCGTCATTTAGCTGCGCGCGGGGCGCGGGGCCGGGTCCGTTCCCGAGAGGCGCTTGAAGATGGCGTCCAGCTGGTCCGCCACGAGCTCGTAGCCGCCGTTGCCCTGCAGCGCGCGGTGCACCTGCTCGTTGAGGCCGCCAGGAGTGGCCGCCTCGTCCGCCATCTCGCCGAAGCCTTCCGTGGACTCGGCGCCCGCCGTCGCCAGCGCGTGGAAGAAGGACGCGATGTAGTCGCGCGAGGCCTGGCCGCCTGCAACGACAAGCAAACATGGGTTCAATAGGTCAGCAGCATGGCTACATAATGGAATACTGGCAAGATGGACGCACCAACGCCGTTGTTGACACACCACTGCTGCGTGGTGTCGCACGTGGCGTAGAAGAAGGAGATGAGCGCCGTGATGCCCGTGAGCTTGGTGATCTCGGCCTCCTCGGCCACCATGACGGGTGTACCCACTTGGGCGAACAGCTCGCGCGCGAAGGCGTTGTCCGGGTAGGCCAGGATGGGGCCCGCGCGCTTGGCGGCGGCGGGCAGCGGCACGGAGCGCACGACGCTCTCGCGCGGCAGCTGCACGAGCAGTAGCAGCTCGTCGTACGGGATTGTAGCCATCATGGACACCACCTTCTTGCCGGCGAACGACAGCTTGGGCAGCTCCTCGCGCGCCACGTGGGGTAGCAGGCCGATGAACACGACGTCGCTCTGGTCCACGATCTCCTGGTTGGACGCGCCGATGCTCACGCGGCCCGGGAACTTGGCTACAAGAGCCTCCGCCTTGGCCTTGGTGCGCACCGACACGTACGCGTGCTTGGGCTGCCAGCCGTTGGCGCTGCAGAAGCCCGTGAAGACCGCCGAGCCGATCTTGCCCGTGCCCAGCAGGCCCAGCGTCGTGTCAGCGGAGGGAGCCATTGTGTCCTTGATTTGATGCGGAGGATCGGGAAATGACGTTGGATGTCAAACATGGGATCATGTTGCCGAATAGGGTAGCCATGTTGCTCAAAGGGGTGTTTTGATGGACGCCGAATGTCACAGTACGGTACGGCTTTACACGGGTCAGCGTCCACGTGGACGGAAGTTGCTGTATTGTGTGGTGGTTGCTCACATTTCGCGTGTGTGTTTTTGCCTGCGTGTTCCGTTCGCACGTCCTGTATTCATTCTAACTACTCCCTTTTACATACACCTCCTGGCCGCCTCCCTACGCAGGGCGAAGTTTACCGCATATGAGGGTCGCTGTGTTTTCGCTCCAGCTGAGGAGGTAAGGAGCCGTCATTGGAGCTGTTCAGGATCTCCAGTACCGTCTCGAAGCTTGGCCGCTGCTCCGGAGAGCTCACCCAGCACAGCGTCATGAGCTTCTTGAAGAGCGGCGGGCAGTTCTCGGGCACTGTCGGCCGCAGGTTGTTGTTCAGCACGCCGAGCGCCGCCTGGATCTGCGTCAGGCCCTCGTACGGACACTGCCGCGTGATGGTCTCCCAGATCACGACGCCATAGGAGAACACGTCGGCCTTCTCCGTGTACTTCTCGGCGGCCAGCACCTCCGGCGCCATCCACTGCGTAGTGCCGCAGTTGCCCGTCATCGTCTGGAAGTGGGCTCGCACGCGCGCCAACCCGAAATCGGAGATCTTGAGCGCGTACGAGGAATCGATCAACAGGTTGGGGCTCTTCAGATCGCGATGTAAAATCGGCGGCTGGAACGAGTGCAAGTAGTTCATGCCTAGCGCCGTGTCGCGAGCAAAACTGCAGTAGCAACGAATAGTGGCAACGTAAGTAAATGCTTGAGCGTGTCAACTCGCCAACCACAAGGCTGGCCTGCTGCATTCTTACCCGTATTGTTTGGTCATATCAATGACAACGTCCTGGCGGAGGACATTCCATAGCGATCCTCGGGGCAGGTATTCGATCACCAGGCAGCGTGTCGGCGGCTCCAAGCACGCGCCCATGAGCAGGCAGATATTCGGGTGCCTACAAGAATCGACGAATTAATAATGAATCACACACAACCGTCTTGAAAGGACCGAAAGCATACCTTAAAATGGTCATGATCTGCACTTCGGCCTCGAACTCCTCCAGAATATCTGCCGTTAGATGTTGGCAAACCAGAATCTTGACGGCCACGGCCGTTCCGCGCCACTTGGCTCGGTGCACCGTGCCGAACGCGCCCTGGCCGATCATCTCCTCAATTTGCAGTTCCTTGAAGTCGACATGCAAACTGTCGTTCTTGGCTTTCGAGAGTTTTGGCCGCCTCCTCCGCGCGTGGTTGCCACCAGTACCGCCGCCAGCAACAGCAGCAGCAGCAGCACCACCACCATTTCCTGCTCCTTGTGCTGGAGCAGGCGCGGCCTGCGCCTCACCATTTGCAGCCGCGTCTCCTACCTGAACCTCCTCCGCTGCCAATTCCGCCGCAAACTCGGCGTCGATCTCATCAATCAGCGGCGCGGCCGAGGTCTTCACATACATCGGCGAGTGCAGGAACAGCGGGATCCGCGCCTTGCGTGCAACTTCCAGCTGCATCTGCGCGGGCGGGGCCACATCCCTCACGAACTGTCGTTCAATATTCGTTTTCAGCGTCTTGGCATCGGGCGACGCGTCCATCTCGGGGGCCCTGTCCAGCAAATCTCCACCTCGGTACTGTCCTCCAATCCGCAGTGGATTCAGTCCTCTCTCGGGGGTGTCTGCAATATTCAGCATGTGATCCTCCTGGGGTCGATGGTCCTCCAGGTCGTAGAAGCCGTCGCTCTCGGCCTCGAACGACACGCTCTCCAGCGACGTGTTGGCCGCCTGAGCAGCGTGCCGAGGCGGCGACAGGAAGCCCATCTCCTCGTCGTAGTCGTCGAACGTGATGCGGTGCTGATTGCGCGCCGAGTCGGGCGGCTGCTGCTGTTGCTGCTGCTGCTGTTGATGTCGGAACTGGTCCTCGTAGATGGTCGTGGGCAGCTGATCCCCGAGCTCCGCGGCGTCTGCAGCCGCCACAGCGCCGCTCTTGACCTTGTTACTGGGTGAGGCTGCGGCGGAGGCCGTCGCGCTGTGCGTGCGCCTGCGCATTGGCTGCTTCTTGGGCAGGTGATAGCTGGGTCCTGTAGCTCCAGCGGGGACCTCGACGCCCGCGGCCGCCACAGAGGAGGCGCCTCCGTACTGCTGCGCGGGCTTCTGCTGCGCGCTCTTCTTCTGCTTGACCTGCTGGCGCGTCTTCTGCTGCGCCTGGAGGCGGCCGGCGGGGGACGACGGGTGCAGGAAGGGCATGGTGTCGTCGGCGTCGACGGGGCTGCTCTTGTGGTCCGAGAGTTCCTCGTCGCCCCACGGCTGCTCGCGGATGAACTTGAGGTACATGGCGATGGCCAGCACCAGGAAGCACAGCGACCCGGAGAGCACCGGGTCCATCCCGAACATGGAGTTGCCTTCCCTGCTGCTTCCTGCTGCGAAGTGACGTTGCTTCACTATGAAGCGGTCCCCCCTTGCAAGTTGATGTGCAGCACATGACAAATTTGGTGCAGGATGGATACAGCAGCTTTATGGGTACTAACGGAACAGAGATGGCTAAATTGAGCTTTCTTTTGGGTGCTTATTCGTCTACAGGCCGTCGGCCTTGGCGCCGGGCAGTTCGAGTGATAGGATGTGGTGCAGCGCGGCCTCGAAGGTTGCTAGGTAGTAGCCGGACTCGCTGCGTCGCTTCTCCGGGTCGCACAGGCGGTTCAGTAACACCTGAGTGAGAATCGGAGCCTCCAGGTCGCTGTGGACGATCACATAAATAAAGATGGGCAGGAAGTCGTCTCCGCTCAGCACGTCCTCCTCCTGCGGCTTGGTGTCTCCAGCTGCAGCTTCAGTCGCTTCACTCTCGTCTGCATCTGCTTCTTCTTCCTCCTCCTCTTTCTGCTCTTGGTGGTCCATCGCGATCTCGGCGGGGGCCTCGGACTCGTCCCCGACCTTCATGCCTCTTGACGACCTGTTGGAGCTGCTGCTGGTGGGCGACAACATCCGGTTCATCGGTGTCGGCGACGTCAGCGACTGGATGAAAGAGCCTGCCATAGGCGTGGAGTTCCGTCGGCGATGGCGCGGCGGCTCGCTCAGGTACATGGTGCGCTCGGCCTTGTACAGCGCGTGGATCTGGTGCGCCGTGGCGACCAGCTTCCGCATCTTGTCCAGCGGCAGGAACGCACCGTCGATCTCCTTGATGACGTCCACCACGGACCGCCAACTGCTCAGCGAGATCTTGTCCATCGGGATACCGAAGTAGCTCTGTGGCTTGCCCTTCAACTGGAACACGCGGTGGCGGAACTGACGCTCCTCGTGCTGGACGTGGCGCCGTAGATACTGCGTCAAGTCGTACATCAACGGAACGCAGATGCGGTCCTCCAGCTCGTGCCGGATCGCGTCCGACAGAAGCTGCTGCAGCTTGTCCTGGTTGCTGACAGCATCCGTCGTCATCAAACTCACGAACGAACTGTGGCGACCCATAGCTGGATTGCCACCGTTGCCCGATAGAATCTGCTTCATCAAACGTTGAACAATAACCTCCATCTCCTCGAACCGGTGCTCCAGCATGTACTCCTGAACACCATCCAAGATATCGCCCATTTCATCCAGCACATTCTGTCCGGAGCTGAACCCATTCTGCTTCATTTTCGTGAGAAACTTTTGGCAGGCCTTGCCTTCGGGGGACGTGAGATCATTCACGGTATGGTACACAAACACACGGAGCTCGCGCGAGATAGGCTGAGTGCGGTTGCGCTCAAGAATGCCCACGTGCGGAACTTCCAAAAACTGCTGAAGCTGCTTGAGGGCGACGCCATGTAAAAACGTGAGAGGCGACGGAGCCACAAGCGCAGCAGTGGTACGCAAAAAGTTCTCCAATACAGGTGCCCGGTCGTAAGCGAGCTGGTTCGGCGAGTTCCGGCCATGGCCACGACGAGTTGGGAATACACAATCACTTACTTGTCCAGATAAACGACTCAACTGCAAATACAATTAACAAATTTGGTTAGATACGTGCAAGAGCGTCATCAAGTCATTGTACTTGAAGAACGAACCTTGCGGTGGAGCTTGTATAATTCACGGAAACGCTTCCGTGTAAACCAGACGACACCACTTTCAACATCTACGACACGCACAATATACTCCTGCGAATAAAATACACCATATAACGGTAAGTCTTCTGTAAAACGGAACTGGACACAAGTGATGTACGCACCATGTGACCACTATTCCGGGCGGGTTTACTTTCTTCACGGAAAATTCGTATGCACAAGGCGTGCCGAATACCTGAAACCATGATGCAGATTAGTTTGTTTTGAGGAATTCAAAGTTAAGCAGGCTAACGTACCCTTTGCCTTTAGAATGAGCAGGTGCCACTCGTGATCCGATATCATTCCGTTCATGTTCATGGTCATATCCATCAACTGATACGTACAAGCACAAACAGCACCAACACGTTAGTTTTCATCACACCAAAATGACCCCACTTTTTACAACTCCACAGCACTCACCATCTTTGTAGGCTGGATTCTTGACAAGATCATAGAGCGCAGATAGTCGAGCTCCTGGCTCGAAATAACGCCGCTGCGGTAAATCTCGCTCGCCTTGGAGAGCAGCTCGAACACGAGATGCGGCTCGCGGTGGCGGATGCGCTTCTCCGCCTCGGACAGATCCAGCTTGCTCTTCTTGATCACGTCAATGTGTGCAATGTCGAAAATACTGGAGCGCTCGTTACGCAGCTCCACGGGGAGGAACTTCTGGTTCATCGAGTCCGCCACGATCTTCTGGTTGGCGCGCATCGCTGCGTCGTCCAGCACGGGCGTGATAACCTCGTCCGTCGACGCGCTATCGTCATCGAACTCCTTGCCGTACAGCGTGCCGTCGTCCTCCGCCAGCGTGCTGTTCGACCTGTCCGATCGGATCTCGTCCGAAGCCGCGTCGGGCATGGCCACCGCCTCGCTCTTCTCCTCCAGCTCCATCTCCATCTCCATCTCCATCTCCGCCTCGCCTTCCTCCTTCTCACTCTCCTCACACTCCTCATCCTCCGGAATCTCGTCCTCCGACGTCGGATACTTATCAACCACCACCTCCACATCGTCATCCGGCAACTGCAACAATACAAAGTCAACGTCAACGTTAGCAGTCATCAAGTAGAAGCAATATACCCCCCCACTCTACCTCACTCACCCTTAAAAAGTCATCGGGTAGTGGGTTCTTCACGGGCCAATTGCCATCACTAGCAGCAGCGGCGGCAACAGCTCTTCCTTCCCCGGCCTTCTTAGCGTCGTCCTCCGCCTGCTCCATGCCCAGCACCGCCGTGATCGTGTCCTCCATGATGAAGCCGTTGGCCTCCAGCAGCACCTGCAGCGTCTCCGACTCCCACTTGGGGAAGATCGAGTGCAGAATCTCCACGCCGCGCGCCACGGCCGCCGGGTTCGGCTTGCGATTGGACGGAGGCGCGTTGGCGTTGGCGTTGGCGTTGGCGTTGCTGGGGCTCTTGCCGCGCTTGGAGGGGAAGATGGCCTCGAGCAGCGACTTCTTGTTGCCGTCCTCGCTGCTCTTCTTGAGCTTCATGAGGCCTGCGCGGTCGCGGCGCCGGCGCGAGACGGGCGGCGTGCGGCTGCCCGTGGACGAGTCGGCGTTGCGGGCCGCCATGCCCCGCATGAACACCGGCGACGGGGGCTGGAACTGGGACATTCAGCAGCAGATCTGCCGCTTGACCCTTGACCCCACTTTGATCGATATTTCTTGCGTTACTTACTGTACGCAAGACGCAGCAATTTTGTGTGCTCTACACATTGTTGTGTACTGGACACAGTGTTGCGTGACATTCAGGAAGCGCGAAGCCACGTTGAGGAGCTTGGTGCCGTCGGGGGGAGAGGCGCCATGTTCCTGCAGTGGATCTCCAAGTGCGAGCTGGTGCCGGTGTCGGCAGACTCGCACGTGCTCAAGGTGCGTTTTGCTGTAGTCTCCCCCCCCTTGTCGCTTTAACACTACTTAAACGATAAGTTGTCTCTAACCTGGTTACGCGCTTGTTGCAATAGAAATTCTCGGAGAAATGCCAGCGCGGTATGTGCGAGATGGTGGTGGGTCACCTCACCGAGGAGGGCGTGGACCCACTGGGAGTGCTACCCACGGGCCACCACATCCGCTGGGCCATGGAGGTGCTCGGGCACTCGTTCGCGCTGCCCATGGAAGACGCTGAGGTCATCTCGGGCTCGTTGCGCATCTACGAGTGCTGGTTAGGCGTGGACGAGGAGTCTCTAAACGGCAAAGGTGGCAAAAGTGGCAAGGATCAAAGACCTGCATGCATGCAAAAGGTGGAGCAGACCTTCATCCAGGACATGCTGGGCCAGATGACGCTGCTCTTCGAGGAGCGCCCCAGCAACGGCGCCCCCGCCGGCAGCGCCGACAGCAACTTGGCTACACACGTGTCCCTCTGCACCAAGTACGTGGCACTTTCATATTCGTTTAGGCTAGTGTTAACACTAGTCTAAACCAGTGCTGAAAAGTTTAGACTAGTGCCAACCTTACACTATGTTGCGCATTTTCGCAGGGTTTTAGAGACTTTCGACGCTCTTGTCAAGCATCGCGGCTCTCAGTTATCCAACTCCACCTGGGACCGGTTAATTCGCCTCATTCTCGGCGCAGCGGACGGATTGTTGCACAACTTACGCAACCAATTGGGCAACCAGTTATGCGGTCAACTCGTTCGCCTTTTATTCGAGATTTATCTTCGATCGCTGCCCCAGTGCGGACCAAGGGGAGAATTGTGGGGACTTTTGCAGAAGTTTTGCCGTCGCTGGATCCACCGCACGCTCGTCATCGAGCAGTGGAACGCCGTCACGCTGGGACTCACGCGCAGCCTCATGCGGCAGATCCACGACCGGGACGCCCCCAAAGAGATCGAAGTCATCTGGGCCGACAACCGCCAGCCGTCCAAGTTCGAGATGGAGAGTCCGCTGCTGGCCTACGCGTGGTACCGCCTGCTGCGCGTGATCGGCCACCCGTCCGCCATCTTCGACCCGGACGTGTACCTCGCGGCGGTGAAGGGCGTGAGCAGGCTGGCGGACGAGTTCGCGCGTATCCAGAAGGTGCCTCGTGTGCAGTGGGAGCACGTCTTGGGTGCAATTAACCAGACGCCGAACCGTGACAGCCCCATGTTCCAGGGAGTGCAGAACGGCGACACCGATGCAGGTGATGACGTGGGGACTGCAACTCCGAAGGTCACGGAGCAGCCGAGAGCTCCGCCTGATGTTAACACTATCCTGCGACTGCTGGGACCCTGGCTGTTCGACGCCTGTTTGACGCGCAAGCCGCGCTTCGCTGCGGGTCGTAGTGAGGCGCTTCGCTGTCTTGGTAAGCTCATGTGTCACTACTCGAACGGCCGCTCGAAGCGGGTCAACTGGGCGTACAGTGTGCGCAGTCTGATGGCGCTGCAGAACGCGCTGCTGGACGACGACGAGCGCATCGCAGCCTCTGCTGTGTACAACTGGTCCAATGTTTTCGGATTGTATGGGAACCACACGCTGCGCGGTGCTGGAGTCGTCGCGGGACCGTTCCACAAGGCCGTCGAGCGCGTCTTCCGCGCTGCGGAGCGTAAGGACGCTCCGTCTTCAAGTGCGAAGTCGGATGGTCGACGTGGACAGGATTCCTTCTTCGTTCAGGATGATCAGCACATTGGTGGCATTCCGATTGTGCTGCTGCGTCGTGCCAGTATCGAGGCCTGCAGCTCGCTTCTCACGATTCACGCGCACGTTCCGCGTCCGTTGATTAAGGAGGCGGAGAAGGAAATCGTTGCACCCTCGATGGCGGATATCCAGGGGCTGTACTCGAGCTTACCCAAGTATACGAGCTCGAACGTTGTGGCGCTCCTGATGACGGCGATTAAGACGGAGACGGACCCGACGAACCAGCAGATGATGATGTGGATCATGACCGTGGCCATCCAGCAGGAGGCGGCGTTCTGGACGAACGGTCTGGCGTCCAGCCGCAACTCGCAGGTGCCGTTCACGATCTTGCTGATCTGCTCGATCATCAGCAAGTCACAGAAGTACAAGCCGCCGGTGCTGTTCACTGCGTTCGAGTGTCTGCGTCACTTGTCGCTCGTGTGCGAGGAAGTGTTCTTCCACCACGCGAACTCCGTCGTGCACCTGGTCAACGCGTGCTGCGACTTCATCAGCAACAACGCGCCAGTTCTGCGCTCAAGGACAGCGCCGTTCTACCTGGACAGTCTCATGGCCGCAGCGTACAACTGCATCATCGAGTGGATCGTTGCGGCGCCTCTGCTGCTGAACAAGCAGCAGGTTATCGCCAAGATCATCACGACCATTGTGGACGGCAACGAGAGATTCCAGTCGTTGTCCCCCAACCACACGAACATGGCGGTGCGCGAAGCAGCGCAGAAGCTGGTGCACATGTTGATGAAGCACCACGTCTCGCACACCAGCAACGCTGGTTCTATCGGCACGCACTCGGCCGGACTGACTGAAAAGGTAAGCCGTACTAGCTGGTCTTATTATGCGAGTAATTCGTATGCTCATGCTTTGTTGCTGCTTTCCTACAGACCGTGCTTGCTCAGTTTGTCGAGCTTAGCGACGCGAGCGACATCTACCGCCATTGCCGCTTCTTCTCTGTGAACAAGAACTCCATCCTGACGGTAATCGAGAAGCCAGCGAATGCAGCGCAGTCGGGTGAAGCAATTCTGATCATGCGCGACTCCACAGGCCGCTACGTGTGGCGCTCCAAGCCTCGACACCGCGACGGTCCTCGTCCGAAGAGCATTGCAGAGTTTGAGAACTTCACGGAAGATCCAAACTCGCAGGTTCGACGAGACAGCGACTTTGATTCCGATTCCAACACGCTCGACGACAGTGAAGACGACGAGGACTATGAAAGTGACGAGGATTCCCACGTCGAAGACCCGCTGCTCACTGCGATCCGCGATGCACACACCAAGACGCCGCTGACGAGCTGGCGTTCATCGCCTACTGGCGGAGTGGAACCGGACGCAGATCCTACGAAGATATTGTCTGGCGAGGGCAACACCGGAATGAGCTCGATTGAGCGTAAAGCAAGTCGCGAAGACCTTCGTGGCACCAAGGACGCGGTGTTTATGAACTTGCTGGTGTCCCAGAGCAACGAGGACAAGCTCGCCTCGCAGCCGAGGGGCTCTCTGAGTGGTGTGAAGTGCCACAAGCCCACGCCGCCTGAGAAGGACCCTGCGCTCCAGACGTGGGAAGTCTCCAGGCGGATGATGAGCGAGTTGGGCTTCCTGTCTGTGCGCAACTGGGGTTCCGTGTTCGCTATGGATGCCACAGTGACTACAGACTTCCTCCGCGACTTGGAGAAGCTGGACAAGCTCCCGGAGCGCGAGACGTTTGACATTTCCGTGGCTTATATGTTCACTGGTACCTCCCGAGGCGGCTACGACCAGATTCACTTGGCTACCTCGACGGATGTGCGTGCAGGCTACGTAGAACTCTCGAAGGATTACCAGCTTTTCCTCTCGTCCCTGGGTGAACAAGTTGGAAGCAAGGACCACGCGGGGTACTCGGGCTTCGACGCTGAGCTCGTGAATGGCCGGATGCTCTCGTACTCCCACTACAGCCACGAGGCGTGCATCTACGTGCCTACTTTGCTCGTCGAAGGAGAGGAGGAAAGCGACAGCGACAGTGACAGCGATGCTGAAGACACGGAAGGCGCGACTGCGAGGTTGCTCTTCCAGCACGCCAACGTCCTCATCGTCTGGAACGAGTGCCAGCAGACGTACCGTCCAGGGAGCGTGCTGTGGGACGCAGCGTTCAAGCTGCCGATGCCGACTTCGGGCGTGGTGCTGATCATCGACCCCCTGGGCAACGATCTGTACTGTGTGCACGTGAGTCACGAGTCCTCGCCGCTGTTTAACCAGCGTGATGTTATTGCGAACGATGAGGACAGCTACGTGGACGAGGCCGACGTATACACGAGCCGCGTGCTGGGTCCGCTGCTCGACGGTATGGTGGTCAACGGCGCTTGGTTAGCTCCACTGGTGCGCCAGACGGCCATCAACGCCGCCATCCTCTCGCGGGCGTTCCACCGCTACCAGCACGACATCGGCGCCGTGTCTTCCTCTCCTGTAGGTGCCGAGGCCAACCGCAGCAAGGTCATCTCTTCATTTGTGGAGAAGCACATGCGTCCGAAGCTTCCGGGCGAATTCTACGGCGACTTGTTTGCAGATCTTACCAGCGAGCCGTAAACGCGCGCTGATGTAGAGGAGGAGAAAGGTGGAGTCACTGTGTGAGAATGGTCCTGTTTATTGTGTGTTGTTTGTTTTTGCTGCTTTCTGCTCTCTCGTTTAAGATGCTGCAGGTTGTTGTAGCTGCTCTTCGACGGATGGTCAGTGACGACGATGAGCTGCGAGGGTGCTGTCTACACGACCAACTTGCCATTAGAAGAACGCGAGTTCAGAAGAGGCAAGGTTAGATGGCGCTCCTACTACCTTGAGTTCCAGTAGTGTGATTGCGCTGGGGCCGAAATGCTACAGATTGACAACGCCTCGAGTGCCTCACGCGTTGTGACTCTGAAACTACGCAAGCGAAGAAGATCATCCAGCAGCCCACGCATTGAGGAATGGGAGCCACACAGAGGAAAAGAGAACCATGCTCTCTACGATATCACAAGAGGCGATGCTTTGGTCTGGGAGGACAGAGTCTGGTTGGTGTCATTTACGTGTGAAGGGAGACTTCAGCGACGTAGCCAGTATTGAGCGCAAGTTCTATACTACTGGTAGTACTTGTAGTTGAGTACTGGTGTGTGCTTTTGCCCTTCAGTCATCTCCGACACGAAGTTGGTACGTTTCATTCCCAGCTGAGGGTCAAGGATGTTGTGGATTCGCGAAGCAGGCTCACATAGTGTGCAGCAAATAGTCGAGCAATGTGATATTGCTGGCCTGCTTTCGCGAACATTTTTTTGTAAAAGACAAGTTCCAGCTTTTGTGAATGGCAGAATCATCATTTGCCCCCGTATTTCCGATCTAGTAGCAGACCAGAAAGAAAAGGGAAACGATGGCGAGGCACGTGTGGTTCAAGATCCCGGACAGGCCAGTCCAGTTTGCTCCTATGACGGATGGGGTCGACAGCATCGGCGATCTCCGAGAGAGAGTAGTATTCGAGTTCTTCACCCGCAAGGTTCAAGATCAAGTGAAGTTTTATGCGTCTCCTGCGGCTCAACACGCAAAGCAGCCGCTCGACCTCGACACGAAGGTGGACGGACTTGGGGTAGACTTGCTGCACCCGGTTCTCGTGGAAGCGCCGCTTATGTTTCCTCGGATCCGCGTTGTCATGCATGGGGTGAGACTTGAGGCGCCGCGCCTTGAACGCAAAAAACTGCTAGACCAAGTGGCCACGAGTCTGCTGGCCGACCAAAAGCGATTCGTGCTCCTCGCAGCGCCAGAAGGGTCTGGGAAGACGTCAATAGTCATGCTATTTGAACACCACCACGCTGATCTGAACTGTGTCTTCGTCTCGTTCATTTGGGAAAGGGGGCCGGTGAATGAAGTGATGCAGCAGCACGGACTTGATATCTGCGGGAGGAAGTCGGCCCTCTCGGAAGACCAACAGCATGTGATCCTGATCGACGACGCTCAGGAAAAGTACGAGGACAGGGCGTTCTGGAAGGCTCTGATCACGGATTCTTCGTCGTAGTTACCAAGCAACATCCGCTTTGTCATCGCTGCCAACCACGCACTGCATGGTGAGAGCCCCATAGAGTTTCGGTCGATTAAGACGTTCTGGAGGCCGGATTTTCTGTTGAGTGACGAGGAATCCTACGGGTTCTTGGCGCTGTCAGTGGTTGGATTGCCCGAGAAAATGAAGGATGAGACAAGGCGATGCTCGCGCAGCTCATGGTTCGTGAGTGTGGAGGGCTGATCGGTGCTTTGCGAGTTGGTTTCAATATCCTCGAACAAGAGTTCCTTTTAAGCCCTACTCCGTCTGAACTCGAGTTGATACTAACCTGAGCAAGGTGTAGCTGTCAATGCTGTAATAAACTGATAGATGTTCGCGATGAGCTAGTTTGGAGACGGCATTAGAGCCGGCGCAAGTAGGCGTTCAATGCTCGTCACGAAAAAGATAAAAAGTCGTTCAGTTCATCTTATTTAGCAGTTTACATGTAGAGCTTTGTCTAAGACATTAATGCTGATGGAGTACATGTAGCGAGATCGGATGACGGCCACAATTCATTGCTTTTTCCAGGTACATCGTATCGTTGTGAAGCAAAACCAATAGGGATGGAATGAGCTCGAGCTCCAAAGCAGAGTTCGGGCGACGCTAAATCAGGGTGCCTGGATGTATGCTCAAGCTCACATCGATAAGCTTTTGGGTAAGAAGCAGCCCCTCGAGTACATTAGCCGTGGGTGTTTAACCGCTTCCGCTATCCGTTTGCCCTGCACTTGCAGCAGCAGCAGCTTAAAATGGTTTTGAACGAAGTGTCTGGGCCGCACAAGTAAGTTCTAGGCCGTGCAAGACGCTGCAAAAACACATTTAGGGATCCCACTTGCTGGCTTGCGATGGGTCAGAATGCTGGTAACATCTATTAAGCTTAGTCCGTGTAACTAGTCATCATGTGGTCAGTGGTCAAAACTTCGCAAAAGGAGTGGCGTTTGCTGGTCTTACCGGTAGTTAGTCCACTCCCGTTACATGTACATGTACTGTGTACATGTACTAAGCTTTACAACATTCGAAGCGCAACCCATCATACAATATGCAGATAATGGGTTAGCACGCACGAGATAGTGACAAGCACCACCCAGCAGTAAAGTTTGCTTCTATCATAAGCACTTCGTTTAACCGTGCAATCTTGGAAAAATACTTAAAGAGTAATAGCAACGTAGTTTTAGTGATAACCTTGGATTGTAGTACGAATCTAGCAAACAATCCCTGAACCGAGTTAACAACAATTTGTAGCTTTTAGTCATAGTTGCTAAGAGTTAAACCGGTAGCAAACAACCCCTGGGTTGCAGAGTCATACATGTAATAATTCGTAGCTTTATTAAGTAGTTACTTAAGTTAATGAATACCCGCTTTTGGAAATAAAAGTACCCTGTTTCAGTAAGTTAGTAAAGCTCCGTCCAAGCACAGCTCTTCGACCTGTGAATAAGCGGTGCCAATATAGGAGGAAGAGCGCTGACAGAAATGCTCCAATTCGTATTGTAACATGACTACACGTAGAATAAGCACAAAAAATATTCTTTGCTCGACGAAAAGATCGTTTCATGCTCAAACGCTATCGATAGTTCTCAACGAATTAGGGGTTCGGGCGGTGGAGCCACTCGAATTGAAGAGTAAAGTCGGCGCCTACAGAACAAAAACAAATGTTAAACACTCGAGCAGGAAAATCCTCAAGTTGTCTGTCATGAGTAGGATACCGACCGAGATGTGCCAGCTCGTATTGCAAAACATTGAGAATCAAAGCAAACAGGATTGCTTGAACTGGATAAAACTCCGTTTCCAGCACAAACGCCAGTTGGTACAATGGAGAGAACGCGAACTTGTGCCGCAGGAACGTGTTGAACGAAATCAAAAGCCCAACTTCCAGTACCGCAAATAGCAAAATATTCGCAATCGATACCATGCCCCAAGTGCCAGCTCCACCAGGGTAGTACACGACGTTCGGCAGCAGCTCCAATACGGACTTGTAGATGAAGAACACAATGGGGGTTATCGACTCGACGTACTGGACTAGAGCCACATACTCGGAATGGAACAGGAGCTTCACACCTTGAAGCACGATTTTCTTCGACCTCTCGTTGTGTCGCATTGCAGATTGTCTATTATCTGCGTCTGATTGCGAGTCTGTCGTTGTGTAATCACCCGCGACTCCGATCAATGGAGTAATTGACGCACTTCGTATGCGTCGGTATGCGTGATGCTCTTGGCTCTTCATTCTTATAGTTGGATCGTAGTTGCTGCTAAATACATTGAAAGCAGCAAGCGCATGAAGGTGTTCCAGTTTGTCTGTCGAGAGCGGATACGCTAAGCACGCCCACAGTCGAACTCTCTCCAGGGATTTTGAGGGAAGCGAAGTAGAGTTCTGTACAGCGTCGAGGATAATCATCAATAAATTGGTAGCGTCCGACGTGCCGGGTTTCTTTCGGATAAGTGTTTGAGAGTTTCGTCGCTCGTCCAGTATGTTTTCCCATTAGCTCTCATGGCTCGGAATTCGACTAGCGACTGGAGGATGTTCACCGCGATAAAGAGCAGCGTTAAGGACACGGATCTTGTCGCCGACATGCACGCCGATATGAACAACGTACTCATGAAATCCACAGACAAGGCCACTAGCAGCGGCATGACGTCTTCCAGGTTGCGTGTACTGCTCACAGTGAAGCGCTTGGCTGCGAACTTCCATATCGGCAAAATGACAACTGCAACACCTCGAAAACCGACGGGAATGTGTTCAAACAGCAGCTTGTAGACTGGGAACGTGCCGCAAAGAGTCAAGAATGACAGGAAGAATCGGTTGTATCGGTCGGCATGTGGCCTTAATGGCGAATCCTTGGCATAGAGGACGGAACCCAAGACTAGAAAAATCATCAGCGACGTAAATATCCCAATGGGAATCGGCGCAAATTGCATCATGAGCGGCACTGGGAACCCAACCGCGCTGGCAGCGATAAGGCACGTCCCCACGAATGAGGTGCTGGCCCCCGCAGCTATCGCCATTCTTTTACGGATCGTAACGTTGAGGCCGGGGATAAATCGGCTCAATTGAGAGTTCACGATGAAGCCCAGAGTCAGTTGAACCGAGAGCAAACGCAGCCAAAAGACATAATTGGCCCTCCACCCGTCCGAAGGCGGCCGCAACGGCAAGCATTCCATTAACAGAGCTGTCAACAAGGCTGGAACTGGGGTGAGTAGGCAAACCAACACTGCTCGACGCCGTGAGGTAGTTTTGCAGTACAAGTTGAGGCTTTCCAGGTGCTCGATGGAGTACGCGCCCTGACTTTCAACTTGAATGCCGTTCCATTTCCTTGCGAGGCACTTCCAGATCACAATATGCGGTGGCTTTTGTTGCGAAATACTCTCCACCTGGGGAGACGCAGCGTTCACAATTTGCGCCCACACTTCCAGCTCAGCCATCTTGCCCAGATTTTCAAGAAATGGCACACCCGTGCATCGCGACAGCTAAATAAAGTTTCCGGTAAGGGCCCCAAGAAAAACAAATTAGGTTTTGCTTCGCTACGAAACGAAGCAACCGTGGTACTTTCCGTGGAATGAAGGGAGGCGGAAAATAAGTTTTGCGGCCAAGCGCAAGAAGGCACGTTGCCTGTTTCATGGAACCACGACAAGGCCCTGTGCGGTGGCCAAGGCAAGATCGCATGTCCAAGTTTAGGTAGGGCTGTCGCCAGTGGTGGTTTTCCCCGAGATGAAAACGGGTTTCCGCGAAGCCACAGGGCACAGCCGTAGATAGTATTGTTAGACGATTGCTCTTGAGGGTCTGGGCTCATTCGGCTTTTGGACTTGTCGGTCGCAGCCTCCTCGCCGCCCAACACATCCAGCGCGTCCACGCTCGTTTGCTACCGCTAGATTTGCTCGGGGACCCCCTTCGGCAGCGGACGTCGTCATCCACCGTTCGCCACCCGCTCACTATTAGTATGGGGGTAGTTCACGGCTGCCGCACACAAAGCCGATCAAGTTCGCGTGAAGTCTGCTCAGATAAGTACCGCTTGTCGGTAGTTTGTGACTTATTGTTGGATGAGTGGCATGCAGTGTTGACAGAACCCGCACCGACTCCGAAGATCTCCCCCCTCGAGCAACGTTGGCTACAGTACAAGCCCACGAGACAATCTTTCGCCCGATGCGGGGTTGTTGGGCACTCGCTTCGACTGCGAGGCTGAGAGCAATGTTGGTTAGGTGATTGGCCCTGGACACGAGCTTCCGCATGACCATCGCTAGTCGACCACCAGCTTCAGAAGTGCAGAAACCACGTCAAGTTAGGGGGAGGCAAGTCGGTGGTCGGTGATTGTGGCGGTCGTGCTGTTGGTCATGCGTGTCAACACGATAGTCACGCCCAGCAGGGCAACACAGACGCCTCACTCACAACACATGCTCACGAATCTTGCTATGCCAGTGTTGATGCTTGCAGGACGCAAAGACAACAGCTCATGATCATCTCGACTATTCTTGGGGGTAGCCTTACCTCGATTCTCGCTAAGGCTTGCTTCAATTATCAAGAGCAATCGTCTTTGCCCCCAACGTGCTTCTGGAGTGCTGGCAAGGAAACTCAAAATTATTGCTGTGCAGTACACCAAAGACAACGGGTTGCGGTCTTAGATTGAATTCAAAATATGGGTTATTCCTCCTGATCTGGTCAGCCAAGACCAATACGAAAGATACTTGTCCATCCTAATAATATATATATAAGAGAGAAAAATAAAAGAAGAAATATAACAATCCAACAACAAAACCTGGTATTACCTGAATACGAAATGCCCTCCGACCGGGCGATTCCGGTCGTTACTCTCGGATGCCTCAATAACAAGTTCAAGGGTTTTCTGGCCAAGTGTCTTGCCCTGGTACCAGCTGCGGTCCCGTTGAAGCGAAAACTTGCCAAGCACGACAGGAGATGTATCGTGGATCTGATGAAATCCGGAGTTAGTATCGTCCAAGAAATCGGGCAAATGGTGCAGTTTTCGTCGCCGGTCGCCGAGAGGTTTTATTTCTATCGGCTTGTACCAGAATGCGCAGGCTGGGATCCCAATTCGTTGCATGCTCTTGTCACGATGGTTCTGGGAAGCATGTCAGCGAAAGCGCTGCTTGCGAGCGCTCGTAAAACTGGTGGTATGCCGGACGAAGTTACTTTTCGGCAGGAGGTTATGAGAGGGATTGCTGTCAACACCTTCGAAACGTGCGCCATTTGTCCCGAACTGCCACGCGTGTTCCCGTCGTCAACCCCCGATCGAAATGAGCGCGGGCGTACGGTTTTCTTCGTGGGGGCGATGGATAGATGGGGGCTGGAGGTGGTGGTAGATGGCCTGGACAGCCAAGACTATACGTCGGGATTCGCCACGGGCGGGCGTTATGCCGCGCTTGAAGCCGATGACTACGCGGTTCTCGATCTACGTGGCAATGCAAATGGAACCATCCCAGCTGCTGAAGGAGAAGGTGATCACGGTGTTCTTCAAGTTGGGAGACTTCTCCAGGTGCCAGTGCGTTCTTGGCATGAACGAGACGCGGCGTGATATTAACCTGGGCTGATTAGTGCTGTACCGTGATGGGAAGATGAAGGCGAGTGAGTAGCTTCGAAGTTTACGTTTATATCGCACAATTATTTTGCCAAAAAAATCTGACTGCTTTCCGCTCCTCCTTTTAGATGGCTGTTGGTTGTTGCGCGAGAACTTGTCTCGTTCTTGTTGTTGAAGTGTCATCCTATGTGTAGGCAAAACCACCGAAGCAGATTCTGCATTGCCACGCTATTTATTCATTTGTGTTTGCCTACAGGACTAGTTGCAAGTGTGCTTTCAGGGAGGGACTCTCTACACAGGCCGTGAAGGATGAGAGCAGTCACCCGAAACTCGTTTTCTTTCGAGTCCTCCAGATCCTCCTTGAAAAAGCTGGAGACTGACCAAGATGCCAGTCTACTGTAGACGCGAATCAAACCGATACGAAGAAAGTATTGAGCAATCCTGGCGCGGAAGTGGGCGACGTTGTGGCTGCCGTGGTCGACGAAGCAGGCGAGAGGAAGATCGAGGGGTTCTTGGTGTTTCGCAAGCGTGTGCGTCGACGACGCTATTGCATTCTGCAGGAATAGCGGCGGATGACGCTCAGTTGCGCGCTGTGGGCACTCATCGACGTCATCGAAGAGCGCAGGTACAATTCTCGACTGCATCGGGGACCGCGCGGAATTGTAGCATTGGCTAGTGGCGAATATTGATAGCGTAGGTTCGTGCAAAGAGGTTGATCCAACACACCAAAAACAGTGGTCAAAATGGCTGCGTAGAAAGAGTTTGGTTGGTGTCGTTTACGCGCGAAGCGACACTTCAGCGACGTAGCCAGTATTGGTTGCAAGTTCGCCGCCGCTCTATACTTGTAGTTAAGAACTGGTGTGTGCTATTGCCCTTCAGTAATCCCCAGCACGAAATTGGTACGTATGCTTCATTCCCAGCTGAGAGTCAGAAGCAGGCTCAGAATTACTGATTTTCCTTCGCAAAATTATTGCCTTGCTAACGTTGGCAGCCTGTCAATGGCAGGTCTTCTCGGTATTTATCAAGTTGAGAGACTTCTCGAAAACATCCACCCTCCTCATTATCAAACTCATCCGAACAATGGGTGACGCTGCATCCATGCCCCCCCCCCCCCAAAAAAAAAAAAACTCTGATATTTCGAGAAATCTCCAACCCGTTACCAACTTCTTCACGGAAAGACCATCAGCAAAAATTCTGCTACGACGATGTTGTCATTTGTATTTGCTTGAGGTATACAGAGCATGTGGGGAAATCGACACGAAGAACCAAAAACTCAATCAGCCAAAGAGCTGAGCCCGTCACCGTATAACTTCTTAACTACGCGGGCGAGCGCAGCATAAATAGCTGGGCCATTAACCTTTAGCCGGATATTTGGAAGACGATAAGACATGTTTTTCAGTACGTCGGCTTCATCTAGATGCACTACTTGCGTCGAACACACAAATATCAAAAGTGCTACAGGAAGATACGAAGGCGTCAGGATGGATTGATGTTCAAAGGCACATGTTTCACGTCCACTTCGGCCACTGGATGTACTGTACTGGTAGTCTGTGCTGGTAGCCTCCGAGTGTCGGCACCTGTAAAAGTCGGAAAGACTAGTTCGCCAACGTGATAGTATATTCACGTGCAGGCTTGTCGACCATGAAACCCCCTTCACGCACACGCCTCAGACCAACCAAGCAACGGCACGTAGAGAAATCCCCCAGCTTGAAAAACACCGTGATGCGCTTTTTATTGAGCTCGATCGCCGTCGGAATCCCAGTCTCGTTTCCACGAAAATCAATTACGGCGTAATCCGTCATTACAAGTGGAGCATATTTTCCGTTACGACGGAAGCGCGCGAGGTGTTCTGTGATTTCGCGGCCTTTGACGAGCAGTTCAATTCCCCATCTGTGGCTGGTAGCCTCACGACGAGGTATGTGGAAAAAGAAACCGATTTCACCATCGATGTAGCCACGAGTAGGCTGGCCCGGCGACGGGAAAATTCTCGACAACTCGGGACAGATCGCGGTTGTATATTCTGTGTTGAGAGCGAGGCCCTCCATCACCATGTGCTGGAACGTTGCTTCTTTTGGGAAAGTGTCAGCTCCAACAACACTGTCTCGCAACACAGACGCAGACATGCTTTCGACAACCTTGACGACGAGGTCGACCAGCGAGCCTGGACTGGATCCAGCACGATTTGAGAACAGCTTCCTGGTGTAATACACCAACGGAGAAGAGAATCGCACAACTTTGTCATGTTCTTGGACAAGAACTCCATACTCTTTTAGTTCCTCGATGCTGGGCAAGAAGCGACACCAGCGACACAGGATTTGGAGACATGGCGAGACACTTAGCCAGAAATTCCCGCTTCTGCACGCTGATATGGGGTGCATCGCTACCTCCAAAACACTGCGTCACTTGCTCAAGAAATTCCGTGGACAAATGGTACTCCATAAGCTCGACTTCAGAGGGGCGTCTGGTCTTGGCAAAATAGCTTACCATAGCATCAACAGACTCTTTCAGTGCACCGACGAGACCATCGCACTCGCGGACCACCACATCAACGAAATCGCTTCGGTTGACCCTCATTTTCATAGGCAATCCATGAGTTGGCGACTCCAAAAACGCTCGTGCTTCTTCGTCACTCAGCATGAAATTGCTTGGGCCAAATATATGGACCGATCCAAGTCGTACCAAACTCTCCATTGCGTACGTTGCCGAGATAATAAAGCGGGCGTTGTCTGGCAACCACGAAATGGTGGTGCGGGCAAACAAATCCCAGAAGGCTTTGTCGTCGTACTGAGCTTGGGCATCATCGATCATGATAACATGGGTTTCCTCAACACTGAGACGTGATACCCTCTGAACGAAGTCGATCCCACACGTCAACAGCAGCTCGGTCGCTGGCGAATCGTGAAGAAACGATACGTAGATGCAATTGACACCAGGGTATCGGCGAGCAAATGATCTTAGTAACGTCGTCTTCCCCGAAACTCTTGGAGATGCCAAGAGAGTAATGGGGGTTTTCCGGAACGAATCGTAGACTCCCTCCAGCAACTGCTCGCGCTTCAGCATGTGACGCAGTTCGCGCGCCAAACCAGTAGAATCCCCCGGGAAGCCTGTAGGTGCTATCCTCACGACGAGCGGGTAATGCTCGCTCATCCCATAGCCGTTGACCTTCACCAGATAGTCAAGAGGTTGGTCTTCCCTGACGTCAGCCTCCGGAGACGCGTAGATTTTTACTTGGCTTGGACGGACATCTCCCAGGATTGTGGACATGCGGCAAGCAACGTTTCTCGAAAGTCACCAATATTAGCAACTTCATTGTTCAGAGAAACGGACATGTCTGCAAACCTGTACCACACATCCCGCTCCATGACTGCGCCTCTTGGATTGCCGAATGTCAAATGAGGTAGTACTGGCTAGATACGTCATCCCACTGTTTGCGCCACATCGTTAATGTGTCACTACAACATCATAGTTAAAAAAAATGATACAGTGCGTAAGATATATCGGAGAAACGCTACAATATACAATATTGACAGCTTGAACAACAACTCACGGGGCAAAAATCGCTTACAAAAGCACCTACTGTTAGGTACTTATTTTATTAATAACGGGACCCGGGCCATGAGGCCCGGAGATTCGCAGTTCTCATTGATAAATTATTAGGAGCTAGAGAGGATTTAAAATATAATGTACCGGGTAGTCAGAAACTATGGCACCGCTTCTGTAAGACAATCGTAATAAGAAGATGGACAATAGAGTGGAGCGCATGAATAAGGTTATGCGAGGCAGGCTATGGAAACCTCTCCAGGCAAGCCCTGAAACAGGCACTATTGATATGGGCCAGTTGAACACGACCTACCTGTCGGCGGAACTTAAGGGAGCTTCGAAGACCCCTCGCAACGACGTTTATGGATGGGTCAGTTTGTTATTTGATTCAAATCAAACTGATTAATGGCAGTTTGAAATGGCCTACCTAAGTAAAGGGCTTTCTAACCATTAGAAATTGGCATAAGTTACTAGTAACGTTGATGGGCCTCCCGAAAAAAAATATGGAGACACTTAGGATGCTGGTGGGTGACTGCCGGCTTGTTCATTGTTATCGGCCGAAGAGGACCGCCCAAAGACGCCGCGGCACTGTTAGTTGCGCCATTGTGATCTAAAGGTAAGCGAGAGCGTGTACTTTGCTCTGTAACATTGGACTAGTGGTATATTGATTCTACGTTGTGATGTTGATTACCAGACCTGGTGATCCGACCCAGACGACGCTATGAGCTCTCGCGTGTGGCCCGATTGGCAGATCGATTGCGGAGTCAGCGTACAACCTCATCGGTTCCTACGAAGCCGGCTACAGCCGAGTCTACCGCTATATTGTAGCTGATGCAGTGGCTACTCAAGAGGCTACAGAAGAAGCGCTCCTCATGGTGTGGCTACACCGGAGACTACAGAAGAAGCGGTAGATGCTACGGCGGATGCTACAGAAGAAGCTCTCCGCGTGATGAGGTTACACCAAAGATTACAGAAGAAGGGACAGAGGCTACGACGGAGGCTACCGATAAAAGCGGCAGGAATGAAGCGGCAGTGCCGGAGGCTACAGAGCAAAGCGGAGGCTGCCAAAATGGCGAAGATGACCCACGGCTGGCGCGAACATTGAAGAGCGTGCGCATGTAAAGGAAGAAGTAGACGTTGGCATGAATATCCTATATTGTCCTGTTTCGTACAAGAGGAACCGTGTCATTACGGGCTATTGAGCATGCAAGCTCCCTGGTGTTGTTAGACAGACAACCGTAACAAGCTTGTTAGGTGGGCTAAAGAAATCTAATGATGCGCTAATGTCACGCACAAGGAAGAATTCGCCCAGTTCCTCCTCACTACGTCAGTTTGGAACAGGGCGATTTCTTCCTCCGCGTTTATCGCGACGTGCCGAAGATGGGTGGCTGGAGCCGAAGTATGCTGCCTTAGCAGCCTTGCAAGGTATTACCATGTAGCAGGTTTTGAGCGTGCTCTACGCTCGCCACGACCAATAGAAGCTCGCCATTTCGGCATATGGTGGATACATTGAGCATGTTTTGTACACTTTCGTAGCTGTTCTGTGCACAATGTACCCATCGCTTGACCGCAAGATGCGAAAGGGCTTCCAACAGCAAATCTTTGACAGGTTTTGAAGTATACTTTAATCAAGTCTAATGCTTATTCTGTAGGATACAGAATAAGGTCTGGGGCTAGAAGGGTTAAGAGCATGCACGCTATCTGGAGAAGTTTTCGTCATGAAGAATGGCACAGGAATTCCGCCGCCACCGCAAAAAAACGTATCTAACGATATAAAGCGTATCTAACGGTAAAAATATCGTATCTGAATATTTTATACTGGGATAAGAAGCGACGAAGTGCTGATAGCCCAGCCCAAACAGGATTAATTCGGGTCCGCCATGTCTTAGGTCAATTTACAGTAAGTGATGTCGATTGACCAAGTGTTTTAGACTTCTCAAGATGGATGGAGGCTGGTCCAGTTCATTTTCAAATTTGTCGAGTCAAGATTCGTTAGTTGTACGTAGCAGCTTTAGCGCTGCGAGTGAGTGGCAAAGAGACAGGAAGACACTTGTCGATTGTAGAGTAAAACTCAGAGTGATTCATTCAACACATGCCTACAACGCATGACTCCTATACGTGCCGTACACGAGGAGGAAAGCATGAGCCTAAAACCCCCTTTGACCATACAACCCATCAATCAGGCTTGTAGGCCGACTCCTAGCATCCAGCTAGCACACGACCAGGACATGAGTGACTACGCGAGAGTAGAGTACGACCGCGTCCGATCTCTAACTCTCATACTCCCCCGGAACTCATATCCTGGCCTCCAACTCGATTATGCCGAGCTGGCAGGCATGCATGTGCAACCGCCTCAACTACGTCCTCGACTCCAAGCAGCTCCCTCAGCCTTTCAAATCGCTGTGGTCCGAGCTCCTTGGTAAACATGTCTACCATGTTGTCTGCCGTAGGAACTAGTTCAGCGACAATTCTTTTAGCCTCGACAAGCTCAGCAATTTTGAGACTCATCTTTGCTAGCCGCTTCACACCGTCATAGTTTCCGACGTGCTCACACACTTTTAGCGTGCTCTGATTATCACAATGCAGCTCCGGGACCATTGGCTTCATGCCTATCTCCGTGAGCAGATTCTGCGCCCACAGTAGGTCCTCGACGCTCTTATTGGCTGCAACCAGTTCCGACTTACACGTATCATCCGTGATACGATCCTGCTTCTTGCTCTAGAAGCCGAAGCTGTAGCCATTCAGTTGGAGCACATATCCCGTAACTGTCGATTTCCGCTGCTTGTTGCTTGAGGTGCTTGTTGATTGCAAGTTAAAATGCAAAGTGAGAGACTGCATGAAGCAGAAGCTCTTTGCTCTACAACCTAGCTCTACAGAGGCTGCATCTAATGGTTGGCTCTAACCAACAAAACTACCAGAGTAAACTTCGAGTAATCGCTGCAGGCAACAAGAGCCAGAGTAATCCTGAATAATCACCACACTGCCCCCCTAAGGATACGCTGGAGCTTCAACTTGGCCACTGACTCAGTGTCCAGCTGCAGGTCACTGGCCGAGAGCTGCGAACGCCGCTTGAAATGCTTCGTCTTCGCAGGTCTGGACGTAGGCAGCAACGGGCACATGAACTTGAGCTGCCAAGCTCTCAAGGGACTCCCATGACACGAGTAGCTGCCAAATACCATCGATGTGACGGTGTTGTTTGATTGTTTCAATGCCGAGAACCATGCTGTGGAGTAGCGCCCTCGCAGAAATCTCGCGAATGCGATCTCGCACAAACTCGGCGCGTCTGGATAGCGGTCGCGCCGAGCGACTTATTCCCGGTTGTTGGAGTAGGGTATCTTCGAAATACAGGCCCAAGTCTTCGCAGGCTTCAGAGTTGGGGGGGGGGGGTTCTTGTGTTGACGCTTGTTCCTTGTCGTAGGGCGTCGAGCCTTGGGCGTGCGGCGTTATCGGGCCGGCGTTCCCGTCGTGCGGCGTTATCAGGCCGGCGTTTCCTGGGGCTTGTGTGGCGTTATCGTGCCTACACGGGGGGTCTTGTGCACGGCGGTTATCAGGCCAGTGCGGTCCTTCGCCTAGGCAGCGCGTTATCGGGCGCCCACCTAAACGGTATACGTTTAACGTGCCTTTGTTCCAGCACGGGTCTGTGGGGTGAGGGGGGGGGGGGTGAGCACCCGAACCAACAAACGACGGGGGGCCGCGATATCGAGGCGGCTCTACTTGCCGGCGCTTGGTGGTTCCCCTGGACCTCGAAGAAGACGGGAGGTCTTTGTGGTTCAGAGAAATTTCGGGACTGAATCCTTACCCTATCCTATGTCCTTGCTACCGGCTACTCTGTACTACTGCTTGCTAAGCCTACCGCTCTGTACCTATCATTACTTCTGTCGTGCTTGCACTACCGTCCTTCAACCTGATTTGCGTGGCATAATCAAGATAGCCGGTGCTTCTCGCTAGTTCAGCGACAATTCTTTTAGCCTCGACAAGCTCAGCAATTTTGAGACTCATCTTTGCTAGCCGCTTCACACCGTCATAGTTTCCGACGTGCTCACACACTTTTAGCGTGCTCTGATTATCACAATGCAGCTCCGGGACCATTGGCTTCATGCCTATCTCCGTGAGCAGATTCTGCGCCCACAGTAGGTCCTCGACGCTCTTATTGGCCGCAACCAGTTCCGACTTACACGTATCATCCGTGATACGATCCTGCTTCTTGCTCTAGAAGCCGAAGCTGTAGCCATTCAGTTGGAGCACATATCCCGTAACTGATCTCCCTGTGTCGATTTCCGCTGCTTGTTGCTTGAGGTGCTTGTTGATTGCAAGTTAAAATGCAAAGTGAGAGACTGCATGAAGCAGAAGCTCTTTGCTCTACAACCTAGCTCTACAGAGGCTGCATCTAATGGTTGGCTCTAACCAACAAAACTACCAGAGTAAACTTCGAGTAATCGCTGCAGGCAACAAGAGCCAGAGTAATCCTGAATAATCACCACACTGCCCCCCTAAGGATACGCTGGAGCTTCAACTTGGCCACTGACTCAGTGTCCAGCTGCAGGTCACTGGCCGAGAGCTGCGAACGCCGCTTGAAATGCTTCGTCTTCGCAGGTCTGGACGTAGGCAGCAACGGGCACATGAACTTGAGCTGCCAAGCTCTCAAGGGACTCCCATGACACGAGTAGCTGCCAAATACCATCGATGTGACGGTGTTGTTTGATTGTTTCAATGCCGAGAACCAT